ATACTCAAACCTTACACAAAATGTGTTAAGTGCAGCATTGTGTTAGATGAGACATCCAATGCATTACTATTGCCTCACACACAGTGTGTTGGATACAGCATTGTGTTGGATGAGACTATCAATACGGTGCCCACACACACACACAGTGTCTACTTACATAGTTGGGCTGTATATCGGTATGTGTTGTTTCTAGTCCATCATCGAGTATAGTAACGACCACATTTCTGCCAGCATATCCCTTTTGCCAGGCTGGTAACACATTCATATCATACCCATCCTTGGAGCCTGCATGCTGCAAATATATGAATCAGAATTGGCAATATTCATATATTCCAATCAACAAAATATGTGCATTGACACTGACAAATATTATATTAATAGCATTCTACCACATAAATCAATTAACTCCAACTTCTGCGTAAGTGCCATTATGATCCTATTTAAGATCGATATTGTTAATTATTGTCATATTATCATTTTTTAATAAAGATCAATCTCCTAAGTGCTTTTTTTTTCTAATTGCACAGTTGTAAAATCAAATGAACGTTTTTTTATCTTCATTTTGTATCCAAAGTTTTTAATTTGGCTACTTGACGATTTAATCCAAGAAATATAATTCATCATCAATGCCTACCAAAGGATTAGACTATCTTACAGAAGTTGAAATATTGGGATAAAAGAAGTATTTTAGAGGTTAATGTTGTGAAAAAATTCTCTGAAGTGAATTGCCAACCTTGCTCGACATTATTTTTCAAAGAGTTTTAAGTTTAAAATTCAATTGAGAATGCTTAATTATAGAGACTGAATATGCTAGTTATAGAAAAAAATTTGAAGATCTATCTCAGGACTAGTCATAACTGAGGCTAGAAAATAACAGACTGAAATCACTGGCAACCATAACCAGTCTGAAAACAAGGTGAAGAGACTGAAAAAGTGGTTTGAGCAGATACAATTACTGCAGAGTACATCATCATGACAGCAGCTCACAAATGGTAATGTTGCAGGGAAAGCAATGCTTTTATGCAAAATATGAAACACTGTATACCTATTATATCACACGCACTGCTTATAAATAATCCCTAGCGCCACACGAAACACCATCAATTGACTTATTTTTCATGAAAATGCCTCTGCTCTTTGTGTAGTTCACTGTTCTATGAACAATGTTGCTGTCACTGCAGGGGAGAGCATCTGATCCTTGGGCATCTGATCTCCCCCCCCCCCCCCCCCCCCCCCCCAATCCTCCCCTCCCTCCACCTGACTTGGAATTGAGTTTGTTCTTATTTTTTAAATTTGGTTTTCTTTGAATTCATATAATCCTGTATAAGATACCTCTGATTCAAGATATTATGATCATAATAAGGAGATCATTATCTGGAGAAGTTAGCCTTTGAGTATCAAAATGCTGACTCCTCTATGCTGGATCAACTTGTTATGCAGACTCAGTTCTATAAAAACAATAAACAATAAAGATTCAATCTTCAAATCAACATCTGAAATGACTGCTTTTTAATACTTCCAAACTAAATTACTTGAGGTAGGCAAATCATGGGTAATTCAATAAAGATGAAATTATCAATGAATTAAGCAAAGGGAAGTTGACATTCTGATACAAATAGACTGGCTTCAATAGATTAGTTGCTGCTGCCTGCCTCCAAAAGTTCGATAAAAAACAAGATTCGTTTTTTTAAGGTTTTCAATTTTCAAGATTTCAAAGAAAATCAATATGCTTTGTCAGTGTTACAACTATATCTTCTTTAATGTCCCAATTCAACTGAAGATTACTATAATTACTTTGGACTATGAAACTAATTCTTATGTTTGAGAAGATTAAATGACAAAATTATTGCCACTGTTATACTGTTTTTCTCCTATCAGTCCTATAGGTAAGATATCCTTCTGTATATATGACATCAATAAAACATTACTCTGTCATAGAAAAATAACAACTATGACTCAACATGTGCTGACAACATAATATTTACATAGCAATCCCAACAAATTATGGAGAAGATAATCTTTAACGATAATACAATACGTCACTACCAGGGAAGAAAATAGCTTTCTTATGTATCTAGTTTTTTTATTAACTTACTTAGCATCAGTAGACATGCATGGGTCATAAAAAAAAACTTGTCATTAGTTGTGGTTTATGTCTTTTTTCTGTTCTAATAACAATATGAAATGACTTGTAATGAATGTGAACAATTCCCAAGTCATGTATGGAAAATGAATTTATGAATTATGGAAAATGAATTTATGAATATTAATGTGTAGAAAATATTACAAACCATACTAATTTTCTGACCTTTCTTTTTTTTTTTTTTTTTTTTTTTTTTTTTTGATGAAGCCAAGTATATACATGATGCTACAGGAATGAAAGTAGAGACAATTATGTATTAATTAAATGAGACAGTAACAAAATATGCAAACCAGTTTAGCAAAATTAAGTTAGCCTCCTTCGGAAAGCTAGATTATATTTCAATACAGCTCAAGAGCAGAATTCAAAAATGAAGATAATTCTAACGATTTTTGCCACATTTATGTCTACAATTATCAAATCACAGAAGGTTGCAGCAATAATGCACTGCATGTTTTTCAATAAAACACTTAAAACAATATCACTAAAGACCTTTTCTCTCCAGGTTGAATGCCCTTCAAATCAATAACCAAGTTATTGAAGTCCATTAGTGGAATGTTGAAAATACATAGTGCTGTGCTGTCTATGTGTATCCAAAGTAACATGTAGACAGAAACCAGTCCCTTGTGCTGAGATTATAGCTGTGTTCACATTGGGACCATATAAAATGGGTTCTGGGGTTCATGAAATCACAACATTTTTTTAGTTAACAGCCCAGCAGTAATCCACCTAAGGACGTAAAGTAGAGCTGCCTACAGGTGGACCAGTTAAGAGGTGGCAACTGTTCAAACTTTCTTATTATCATGACCTTAGAAAAAGAACTATAAAAGCCAAGGTGCAGGTGAAGCAATTACCACCTAGCCAGCGTTAGGGCATTTTTGCTCTCGTGAATGCTTCAACCCACTCGCTTGCTTGATTTTGGCCTATTCTTGAGAGGGCCTGTGGTAAAGAAATTAGAGCCTCAACCAAAATTTTTTTTAAACCCTGACATTTTATTTTTGCTCGTGTTAACACACTTCATACACTTAACAACCAACGAGCTCTGAGGTTTGCCTTGAACTCTCTCAGAGTCTACAAAATCACATCACTCCACTTCCATATCTGTCTTGTACTTGACTATACAAACTGAGCTATCTGATGTGATAATGTGAATACATAAATCTCTAATGCATCCTCCGTTGGTCTCTACATACTGACTGTGCTGGGCTGGGACAACTGCTGAAGTCCACACTGATAAAATACCAGCTCAGGTCAGCAACAGGACTAGTAGTATCATTATTATTACACTACTAACATGATCAAACTCATGAAAACACTTCTGTATGGTACATCTTAGTAGAGTGGCACAAAACATTTACAATCGATTATGGTAATTTTGACTCTCTGAAATTCATATCACTTTTGATAATTTTCTCAATAACGTCTTTTATATGCATGTATAAATATGTAACAATTTCTAAATCCATAAATGGTAGAATGTTCCTGAATATCTTAACTAGGCAAAATTCTATTACAATGTTATAAAATCAGGGTTTTCCCCAGTATTTGGGATACACGTAGTCAAAGATGTGAATCTGTAATTTTGTCACCAATTTACAGGGAGACCAACTGACTTGTCCTTTCTAAAAAAATTCCCTGTAAGCAGTCCAGTCGTCTTGAAAAATATAGCCAATGGCCATCCAAATGATGACTGGGCAGCTCTCTGGGGAAAGCCTTGAATGTCATTCAACCAATCATCCAAGTGAATTAATCAGAATAAATTGCTGTGTAAGTAATACTTCTAGCAAAACTTGAAGAAAGGACATGTAAAACCTTTAAGATAATGAATGGTGAATTGGTGACAGATAATTTGATCATTTTTAAAAAATTAAAACAAAATCTATAAAATATTGCTTAGTCACTAAACTGTACGTACCAGGTACCACTGATCTTTATACAGTGGGTCTCTAAAGTGAGGATTATACTTTAGTAAATCTCTTTTCACCCTCTTCTTCACATATTGTTGCTCTACCCAAAGAACCTGAAATAGAGAAAATAATGCACTTATGGATTTCTCCTTTTTTTTAAATTTTACTATTTTTTTTAAATATCCAAATATCATATGTCCACAGCTGATCATTAATTAAAAATTAATAAACAATATAAAAATAACATTTGACCACAACTTGCATAATGATAAATAAATTCTGGTTGTTATAACATCCTACTAAAATTTCCGTTGTAGAAATACCACATCTTTCATCTTGTTTATTCCTTTCACTGCACATAATGTGTGTGTCATAGAGTCAATGACACTATTATTAAGACACATATATCATTNGAGCTTGTGGTAAAGAAATTAGAGCCCCAACCAAAATTTTTTTAAAACCCTGACATTTTATTTTTGCTCGTGTTAACACACTTCATACACTTAACAACCAACGAGCTCTGAGGTTTGCCTTGAACTCTCTCAGAGTCTACAAAATCACATCACTCCACTTCCATATCTGTCTTGTACTTGACTATACAAACTGAGCTATCTGATGTGATAATGTGAATACACAAATCTCTAATGCATCCTCCGTTGGTCTCTACATACTGACTGTGCTGGGCTGGGACAACTGCTGAAGTCCACACTGATAAAATACCACCTCAGGTCAGCAACAGGACTAGTAGTATCATTATTATTACACTACTAACATGATCAAACTCATAAAACACTTCTGTATGGTACATCTTAGTAGAGTGGCACAAAACATTTACAATCTATTATGGTAATTTTGACTCTCTGAAATTCATATCACTTTCGATAATTTTCTCAATAACGTCTTTTATATGCATGTATAAATATGTAACAATTTCTAAATCCATAAATGGTAGAATGTTCCTGAATATCTTAACTAGGCAAAATTCTATTACAATGTTATAAAATCAGGGTTTTCCCCAGTATTTGGGATACAGGTAGTCAAAGATGTGAATCTGTAATTTTGTCACCAATTTACAGGGAGACCAACCCAAGCAAGTCAAGCCCCTGACTTGTCATTTCTCAAAAATTTCCCTGTAAGCAGTCCAGTCGTCTTTAAAAATATAGCCAATGGCCATCCAAATGATGACTGGGCAGCTCTCTGGGGAAAGCCTTGAATGTCATTCAACCAATCATCCAAGTGAATTAATCAGAACAAATTGCTGTGTAAGTAATACTTCTAGCAAAACTTGAAGAAAGGACATGTAAAACCTTTAAGATAATGAATGGTGAATTGGTGACAGATAATTTGATCATTTTTAAAAAATTAAAACAAAATCTATAAAATATTGCTTAATCACTAAACTGTACGTACCAGGTACCACTGATCTTTATACAGTGGGTCTCTAAAGTGAGGATTATACTTTAGTAAATCTCTTTTCACCCTCTTCTTCACATACTGTTGCTCTACCCAAAGAACCTGAAATAGAGAAAATAACGCACTTATGGATTTCTCCTTTTTTTTTAAATTTTACTATTTTTTTTAAATATCAAAATATCATATGTCCACAGCTGATCATTAATTAAAAATTAATAAACAATATAAAAATAACATTTGACCACAACTTGCATAATGATAAATAAATTCTGGTTGTTATAACATCCTACTAAAATTTCCGTTGTAAAAATACCACATCTTTCATCTTGTTTATTCCTTTCACTGCACATAATGTGTGTGTCATAGAGTCAATGACACTATTATTAAGACACATATATCATTTCTGCCACACAAACAGTCACATATTATATACAAAACCCCACATTCTACTGTGATGAATACAAATTACATTCATAAATCAACAAAAAACTGCTCCTTTTTTGTAATTTATTTACTTCCTGCTTCATCTGGCATTCCACCATCAGTAAAATAATAGCTACTGCCAGGAAAAAGAAAATAGCTACTGTTATGCTCTTCCTAAGGTCAAGAGCTAAGGGGCAAAATAAAAAGTACAAAGGACATGTTTGTTCCTTCCTCTTCTTGTTGCTATTCATGCTATGGTATCTTCTTTTTAAGAAGAAGAAAAAAAAGGAAATAACATACAGTTCAAATACATTTCAACCCAAAAGGAATTCATTGCAACCAAGCCTACTGTAAATTATGGGGTAAAAAGAAACATGTTTTATATTTTCTGGGACTTCTATTACTTCCTACCAGCCAAGACAAAAAGAATCTATAGCTATCCTGACGAAATCACATCTATTGTGTGGGTTGGCTCTGTGGACATAAATCTTTCAAATGAGAACCTATATTTTCTTAAAAGAGTCCAAATGTTATTCATTTCCTCCTTTGCTTCTAGGTATCCCATTTATAAAACGTTTCAGTTAGCAAGTCAAAAGAGCTCAAAACATGGCATCTTTGCCATCCTGTGTCTGATAAGTTACGGAAATACAATCTCTACACTTGTTACGCTTAAATAAATTCACATTCATGACTGGGTAATGAGTTGCATATGAAGGTTGTTTACAGAAATTCAAGTAAACTTGATTTTCTACAATCCAGTCTGAAGTCCATGATGGCTAAGGGCAGTGAGGTGAACATCGTTTGGTGCAATGATTACTCAAAGTTTTCAATGGGGGAAATTGTGAATTTTACAGATACTGTATTTTTTAAGTCATAATTCCTTAAAATAAGAACATTCCTCTTAAGTGGCAGCAACAAAAGTAAAAAGCAGGCTATTGTTTTATTCCATTCTATGCATTTAAAACACCACAATGCTAAATAGAATTAGAAATATAATTTTGTGATTATAAAAGTGTGATAATTTTGCCCATTGAAAAGATTTGAGTCACTGACGTATAACATGACAGGCTTTGACTCTACCAGTGTACTGACTGTTCATGATTCTATTCAAACTCCCATCTTAAAACAATCCAATGCTGTTAAAGTGCTTTACGTAATAAATTAATCAATCAAAACCACATACTATAACAAGATACAATTACAAAATGGAATTTGCGATAAATGCTTCAACAGTTTTCTAATGATGGCACTTTGCCAGACTTGCTTCTAAGTGTCTTGCTTTCTTTTTACTTACTAGTAAGGTACCACAGGCTACACTTCATAGTTTTTAAAAGTGTTATGTCTGCAGACATATAAATATATATTTATATGTGTGCAGAAATATATATTAATATATATATAAGAAGCTAAAATAAAGCATACTGGCTGATTCGTAAACGGAGATTGCATGTCTCCAATTAAGTTCAAGCTCAACACATATTACAGGGTAGAAAGACTGCATGCAAACAATCGCAGTAACAGAGAAAGCCGCAGCGTCTCAATCCTGACACGATGAATTGATTGTAATGAGAACTGTGACTGTAAATCAAGCAATCCTGTTTCCAATCACATATTGCTCTTCTGGGAGCTGTTACAACCAGCATGGTCCGCTGATCTGGAAAGTGCATGACAGTGCAGTCTACTGGGGTATATACAGAGATAGCCATGGGTATAGCTTAGGGCCAAAAACCAGCTGTGGTGTACCAAGAACTCTAACAAATACAGTGAATACCACTGAGACATAAAGTAGCATAGGAAGAAGCTATAGACTATAGCTCATTTTCGAACTAAGTAATGCGCTGCTCACGAGCCTGATATACACCAGAGCCAGCTGTGGTGAACCAATAACTAGAACTAAAACAGTTTATGTCACTCAGACAAAACCCAGCAGATCATATGAGCTTCTGCTTAGGAAGAAGCATGGATGATGGCTCAATTTAAAACAACACCCAACAACCCCAGTCTGCTTTGGTAAAATGTGCCATGTTAGACAGAGTTACTGTCATCTTCTATGCAGACTTTACTTGTACAGATTTCTGTTTGATATCCCAGATAACATCATAATTAAGATGTCTACATGTAATTATGGTTATGATGGTGTTTATCATGTGCATATATGCTGTTTGGTTAACCATAATTCCACCTGACTAGATCATTTAACAAATCCCTTAATATCTTTGAAGTTTCAGCTAAATTAAACTATATAAACAAGACTGCAACAAGATTGCAATTTTACACCATCACATAATTCACATTGTATGGCTGCATATTAAATGGCATAAAACAGCAATAACCTCTTCCCTACCAATAAGTGGTCACAGAGTTCATCCAGTTAAATGCCTTGTTTCTTAGCCCTTACACTTGATGAACAGAGACAGGTGTCTCCTTATTTGATATATGTATCAACACAGACTAAGCACTAGGGGGGATCTTTTTTATGAAATCTATAGGAATTATACCCTTGGAAATCATTTGATAACAAACAACATTAAATATAAAAATAAAAAAAAAAAAAAAATATATATATATATATATATATATATATATATATATATATATATATATATATATATATATATATATACAAAATATAATTACAACATGGAAAATCACCACTGTATCTATATCTACTCATACACTACTAAACTGATAATCCTCTAAAAATTATCATTACAAAAAATTGTGTGAAAATACTATGTCATGTTATATAAGTTATCACTTAGGATGTATTAACAAGAACACATTACACTGTCACACTCCAAAGTGTCCCTGCCATTAAACTGGCACTCATTGCAATATAAAACAACATTTTGTGACTAACAGGTACTAATCACATCTAGCACACAACAATAACAATCACTATATTACTTTACAAAGTATCATGTTGTGGTATAACATGTCACAACTAACACACTGTCACAATTAACACACTGTCAAAACTAACACACTCTCACAATAACAACACTGCCCTGCCTAGCTCATTATCACACCTAACACACTGTCACAATTAACGCACTCTCACAATAACAACACTGCCCTGCCTAGCTCATTATCACACCTAGCACACTGCCACACACTACATTATGTCAAAGATAGTTTATTGCCACTCCTGACACCCTTCTCTCCATTTCTGTACAACCCAAAGGATCAGAAATAACTGTGATGCACTTACCTCAGGTTCTCTTTTTAATCTTACATGGTGTAAACTTTTTCGTAAGGACCTTTTTAATATATTGGGATGTTCAAATAAATAAAACCCATCAAATATCTGAAAAAAAAATGAGAAAATTTTTCAATTAAAAACGTTAAAACAAAATACTGTAAATAACAAATGAATAAGTATCGGTTCAAAAATAACTGCAATTGCCCTTTTTATAACCACAATTATTTGTATTTAATTTAACTGCATCTCTAAAATCACTCTAGTAACTTATGAAATTGCTCATTAATGCCTTATTTTCCTAACAAAGATATACAAGCAAGACATAAACTGCAATCAAATTCCCAACCTGTAACATGGTATAAATAAAACCTAATCTACCATCAGCCGTTCACATCTCTCTATCCACCCTCAATTACATGTTATCAGCCTCTTTTCAAGTGCTTTCTCCCCAGTATCTCAGCACTGTGGTTATACTGAATACTTCGAGAAGTGGCCATGTATAAAACTAATAAGAATTTATTGGCATACTGACATGTTTTTAATAACTATTAAAGAAAATATAGTACCTCGTAAAACACTCAATTTCAGTAAGTCTAAGATGTTCAAAGATAATGTATGTTCTTTACTGGCTTTCGATTTAAAGATATTCTGATACATATTAAGTACTTATTAGTACTGCAATTTTCAAGAAAGCCCCCCTAAGCTACAATCAGTGCCTATCTAAAGACATGCAAACCCTTGGTTTCAACCCTAATTGCCGTTATTATATACCTACAGGGAGTTGTGAAAGTGGATAGCTTGAGTAGGAGTTTTAATTGATCTACTGTTAATATCTAGAAGGCATAAAAAACAGTACGTTATTAAACACTGTTTTATGCACTCGTTAATAAATGTGCTTTACTGGCTTGGATCTCATTGGCTTGATTTCTCCATTTTGTGCTTCTTTTGTTTATCAATTTTCTTCATCACTGTTGAAAATCTGCTTCTTTAATAAACTTAAAGTATCCACCCAATATTACTGAATCGCCTGTTTCTTTCCCATAAGTAAAGTAAACACTGATGGGCGTACTTGCTTATCTTACTGAGAATTATTACAAACACCCTCCTAATATCCAGCACTGGCTTGATACACAATTAATGATTTGCTCAATAACACTGATATATCTTTATCCTTTAAATTAATGGATCTGACAAATAACATTGAACTGCTGCTATCTGCCAATGGCATTTCTAGTCTTATATACAAAAGTAAACATTTGGACTGAACAAAGTTAACACAATTTACTTTAAAAGTTTATTTTATTTTAATAGTTTTATTTTGTAATTTAGTTGCTGGTAAGATTAAATAAGACTTTACAAGGTGTCAATCAATCATTTTTTTCTCATAAAGTTTTTGCCAGTTCATTTGTAGTTCTTAAAATGTTCATATGATTCTTTCTCTTAGAGACTGGCATACAGTCCAAACAATACTAAAAATGGCTGAAAAAAATGCTTGCTGTAATAAAAGTGCCTTTTTGGGAAATGTTCATATTTATAGACAATTGACCTGAGAGAAGAGGTCCTTTAAATTTTAAATGTACAACAAATATTCCTGTTTGGAGATCCATATGTCAAGCAAACAAGGTTAATTATGCTGAAGTCTGAGATTTGTTGACCTATACAATCTCTACACCACCTGATACTATGCAAATCCATGGCCAGGAAGTAGACTTTGAGCTCTTTGATTTTTTTTTTTTTTTAATCACAAATTTAAAATAGCTTTCAAAATATATTACTATATAAACTTCAAAAAACAAAATTCTGTCTGGATTTTTTTTTTTAAGTTTCCAACGTGTTTTTAAACAATTTGATAAGGTTATCAAAGTACAAGGTTAATCTTTCTTTCAATGACAATAGAATACGAGCACTGAACACTGAACCACCACAGAGTAAATAAAGCCCTTATGGACAATGGACTGAAAAGAATCTTAAGTGGTGAACAAATGAACAATTATTATCTCACACCTGTACACAAAGACCTTCATTCTTATACCTTGGGCTGTAATAACTAGTACCAATTACGTAACAGCTGTATTGATTACTACTTCACAGCACAGTGGTCCTCCAATTACCTTTCCTAAATTTTTGTACCCATGTTTATTGGCCAGCCGATCAGCCACCTGGTCAGCATAAAGAACGTCGTCCACTTGCACTGCCCACTGGTTGATGTAAAATCCACTTGTGATGTCCAGTAGAAGAGTTGTGATGGCAAGAAGCAGCGTTCCTATGTGTGTTAAGTCTGTCATTTCAACTGTGTCTGAAACAGCTGTAGTGATTATCAACGTACTGTAATACTCTGTGACCGGACGGCGCTGGTTACCTGTAGGTGTCGTTTAAGATGCTTGAAAGACTTTCCCAAGGTTGTATTATCACAGTAAGAACATTGAAAACCGAAACAAACGCAGAATACTACCTAAATGTGTCCCCCATTTTCCGTGTACGAGTCCGCTTTACCCGAATGCGCGTAGTACGGGAAAGGACCCTATCCCAGTTTTTGAGGCAGTCAAGCGGGGAAAGGTCGATTAACTCAGTAGAACTGACCTTTGACCATGAAACGTAATATGCCATAAAAACAACCTGTCCATTCCTTTATCTGCTTTTCTTGCCACTGTGACTCGATCAATCGGGGTCTGTGCTTTAAATATCCCTATGTTTGCACTCCGTAATCCTTCTGTGCCGAGTTTGCCTTTCATCGCTTGCTGGAGCTCTTCAGTGAAGGAGGTTTGAAAACACACATACTATGGCAGCCGCTGGAAGAGGGTTTCAGGTACGTTGAAACATTTCTAGCGTCTGTGAAGTAAGCACGTTTCTTGTTGACTTCAAAATGCAAGGATGTGCTCCATATCAACGTTTGTGATATTTCACAAGGATATCTAAATATGCCCCCAGAAAATGTTTAAGAGACGGGTAGTCATTTCCCGGATCCTGTCACCTTGACATGTCAATGAATCTACTAGATTATCTAGTGAACGCTACTATAAAGTGATATATTAACCCTAGGTATTAGCACCAAATCCATCAAACCATCAGTGAAAAGCTCAACACCACTTATTTCAAAGTTGAAAAAATGCCCCTTCAAAGCAAGCCCATGTTTTTATTCAATGTTTAAATTAAAGACTGTTTCCAAAACTATGACAGAGATAAATACCTTACAGTACTATATATAAAATGTACATTTTTCTCTTTGAAATATTGTGAAATTATGTGTTGTAATATGTATATTTCAGGCTGTTAAACAGCATATACCCCTCATCAAATTTCCCCAGTTTAACATTAAAGACCCAAAAGGTATAGGTAAGTGAATATTTTAATGATATTTGGAATTAAGTGCCTACCTATAATGTGGGGGGAATCAAGTTTGACGTCTACATTATTTGTAGTTTTGTCAGTGCATTCCTTATTACATCTTTTTTGTGCTGTGGAAAGATTGTACAGGCATTGCATATTTTCCTCATGAGTGTTGAAATTTAACACATAGTGTCCTTTTGTATATATTTTTCAAGACTAGCCATACACATACGTTTTAACTATCTTTATGCTTTTGTTTTGATAATTGCTTCTATTTTGCTTTGTTTTTCAGGCATGAAACTATTATTTCCTCCAAGTTCTAGTAAAACTCTTCAAACAACACCTGAGCCTGCAATTTCACAGGAACCAAAGAAATCTTCCCCTCCCATAGGCTACATACCCCGTGGATCTGGAGTAGACCCCTCAGAACTGCTACCTAAATACCACAGGAAACCCATTGATATAGAAGAAATGGAATATATAACAGTATGTTTTGCTACAGTATACTTCAAATGTCTGGGGTATCAAGTGAATATTATTTGGAATTCAAATGTCTGGGGTATCAAGTGAATATTATTTGGAATTCACTGGTGTGATAGGGATAATCTTTTGATAATAGAGGGTACCAGAGGAGATGATTGTGCCGCAAGTGTGGTGTCATGTGACATCAAGTGGTATAATACATGAAGCTGAGTGGTCATTTTTAGCTGGAGGTAAACAGGAGTGAAGATGTGGGCTCAGAAAAAAAAAGCAGTTTTTCCAACAACATAATGAGATAACATTTTTCTTTCAGTATTTTGGGCAGAAAATACTTGCAGAAATAATAGGTACATGATATGGAAACATGTTACAATACTAAGGTGCAAAATCATGCTTAATTTGCAGGCAATAATACACCTATTTCATCAGTGTAGGAACTTATCAGTGACAAATGCCATGACAAAGATGACACTCTGACAGCCTCTTATCTCACAAGCAAAGGAGGGCTGGCATTCAATTACCTCAGGCCGGCAATAAAAATAAACCTTGAGGAACTGGTCAGGTTGGATCTTATCTACCCGTCAGGAGCGATTTACAACTGAGTATTGCCTAATATGGTCAATTATTAGTAACTTGACCTAGTCTTAATTACCGGAAGCTTTGTGATCGGCTCATTAAATTCTTTTTTTATCTTCTTGGGAAGATCTTATCAGTGAAAAGCTTACTTTTCACCATTGAAATGTTTTATTTGTCCGATGAATGCATCACATTTATTGCACATTTGTATATTTTTTCTTTCTATGCTTTTGGGATTAAAAAAAAGTGGAATAGTGTGAAAATGTCAGGTTAAGTAGGGCAGAGCTCATATGTGTGGAATTTCATGTCAGCTGGACATATAATATATTCTTCATTCCCATTCACCTCCAGCTAAATGACCACTCAGCTTCACATCTTACACCACTACACATTTCTTTCGGCACAATCCTGTCTCTTCTGGTACCATCTGTTGTTGATGTTTTCACGACAGTAAGGGGTCATCCATTTTTGTCATCACTTTCACAAGTCTGCAAACTTTACACTGGGGGAAATGCCCTCTGCATGCTTTTGGGGAAAAAAACTAATACAAGTGATGATCTTCACCCCCAGGGGTGTGCTGGCAAAGGTCATCAATTTTAACTATTCACTCTATACTCACTGAAGGGGGATGTGTATAGGTTTAAGTGTACTCTTTGTAGACTTGTGAAAATGGTGAAAAACTATTTACTATTAACCTATAATATATAATGACAATATAAATATTAATATTTGTTTTTGCAGGATATTTAAGATTTAATAAAGGAAAGTCATTTTTTTCCAAGAAAAGCAATATCTGTTTTAATACATTGTTGTGAAGCATGCTTGCTATCAAGATTGTATTCTTGAGCAGTTACTGTATATAGGTGGTAGAGACATTTTAGAGATTAGAATATTTAGGGCAATTTTACTAACATCTTCCTATTGAAAAATGCACAAAGTAGAGAGTTTTTATAGTAATATATGTTCTTGCTTTATTTCAGAGAGGAGGTCCTGAGTAAATACTCCCATCACTTAAAAAACTGCACCAACTTTTGTGAAAACATTCAGCCTCACCGACTTGACTTTTGATGGTGCCTGAAAAAATAATATTGACATGCTGGGCAAGGACACATAACAGAAAACAGATTGTTTTTAATTTCTATACACACTATTTGAAAAGTGATATTATTTGCACACAATTAAAGGACCTTACTGTTTCCTTTTTGCACAACAGTTTGGTCAAAATTATTTTCATTTTGAGGGATCTGGTAAAAGCATTGCTTTAGATAACATCAATTTTTAGGTTTTTAAAAAGATTGTTTATCCTTTTCATACACAGGGATATAAGATGTTAACTAAAGTACAGTATTAATGTTTGTTATATTGTAATAAATGCGTCATTTGTTTAGTTTTGTTGAATTGAAATGGATACTGAAGTATGTAAATTGACACACCGTGCTTACTGGAAGAACTGGAAACCCTTTAAACAATCTACCAAGGATGAATGTGTACTTTCTTCTGTCAAAAAATCACTTTTTAAATTAAAACTTTTCTGAGAATGCCACCAAGAGGAAAAATGCTGAAAATTGTTTGAAACATTATAACAGTGCCTTCATTTTTAGAGTGAAATGTAATAAGATCAAATGACTCTTCAGATTAGCAAGACTGAGAATAGTTCCATTTGCATGCTTAGTAGACCAGCTGAAGTCTGAGTGGGAGTCGCAACAGCGTTAACAAGACTATATTGTAAATGTAGTAGCAGATTTAAATTGATTTATTTTTCTAAAAAAAAAAAAAAAACAACTGGATAAATAATCTACATAGTAATGCTCCTACCAAGTTTGCTTCTGTTGGACATTACTTTATTTCATGGCCCTTAATTATACATTTTCATCCCCAATTTTGGCAGGAATTTGTTGCACCATAACTGACACAATTAGCACCATTGCTCCCAGCAGAATTAGCAACGTCACACCTAACACAACCTGAACTGTAACTGAATCCAGACGATGAACCCGAGCCACTCTTACCACTCGGAAAACCCATTTGTTATTTATATAAAGGTGTTGGTTACTATCCTGATGTCCTCAATAGAACTGTTGAACTGACATTACAATTAAGACCTGAATCTACCCGGTCCCGCATCTTACCACTGACCTGGCAAACGTACTATTCTAGTTGTGACATGCAACACTCTAATTACCACTGACAATCCATGAACAGTTCCATCATGGTGACTTGGTCAGGGTCATATGTGAACACATATAGAGGAGACAGAAAGTAGACTTTTTCAGATCCATGTTAGTCATTTGTAATGCTTAGAAAAAGTAAAATTCTGAATTGTCTGCAATCTTAGTTGGTTCTTTGAAAGAAAGGAACCTAAAGTCTGCCAATTTTTTCCTACCAACATTATTAAAGACATATTGCACATCTCCTTGTTGACCCAGATTATAGATAAAATAAATTGATTTCAAGTCCATCTGTGTGAAGTTTCCAATGCCATTCTGAGATAGTAATCTCCTATAAAATCCATTTGTTCAGTGATCATTACATTTCCACCATGGAGGAAGTCTTGAGTAGTGATACATTAGAGGCATGCAGTGGATTGGTGGGGAACACCTTGATGGGCAGATCCCACACCATGGTTTCCACCTCCAGGTTCTCAGGTCCCCGCCAGGTGGAGCACTCGGCAGGGTTGGATGGCGCAGCGTGAGGAGGAATGGCATTCTGGGAGGTGATGAACTCAAAGTGGATCTTCCACTTTAGCGTCACTAAAATTAAATGTCAAATATAAATGGAATGATTAACTCTAATCCATATGTATGCTGCCATACCAGGGATAAAATAAAAGTCATACTGGTTAATCTGAAACTGCTTGCAAAGATGATTTAAAATGGTCAATGGGAATTGAAAAGATTCCACAGATGTGAGGCTAAATACATGACCTTCTCGAGCTGAGGTCAGGATTAACTGAATGGACCTTTTAAAAATATCTATAACACTTATAGAAGATGTTTGTTTAACCTTTTGCTTAGTAGTGGAGTAAATTTAAATCTTCCTTAAGAAGTCACTTTTAGTGGCACCTTGTGCTGACAGTAAATTGAGGGAATCACGACCAGTTATTTACCTATATCAGATATAAAGCCTGGACTAGCTGATAGAGGTATGGGTAAGCTGAAATGGGTTTTCCTGGAATGCAGACAAAAGTCCTGGTGCTTGCAGTATGACATGGTAATTGGGAGCTGCCCTGGCTTCTTCCTGCACTCTTCTGATATTTGCTCTTCACTTTGGAGAGTAGCTGAAAACTAAGGTAAGCAGGAAATCCTAAGTAAATCTAAAGTTATTCATGTATTTTACAGAAGTTGCATATAATTAAAGAATTTATATTTAAATTAAATGTCTCCTATGATGACAACTGAGCATCCAACTAAATTTGCAAGCTGTTATAACAGAATATTTAACCTCAAGTTTTTAATTTTTCAATATGTTTTATCCTTTATGTCAAATTGTCATGCAGTTTTACTCACCTGAACACATGGTATTGAGGCATCAGAGAAATCAAATGTCCCCACAATATCTTCTCCTATTTTAAAAGCCTGTTTAAACATGCACAATCTTGCAACTTTTCCTCTAGCATTAGTGATGTTGAAACAGTCTGAAAAATGCATTTTAATTTTGAATCAACAGCTGATGCAAAAGACAATATAATCATTTATTTCAATTCTATCTTAAAGGAAAATCAAAGATTTAGTTTAAGTCAGGTTTGGTTCTCTACTTACGTGGACTTCTTTTGGCTGTTACTGTGGACAGAACCTGGAGAGCTACCTCTAGGAGTGTGTTTTCTGGGGGTCTTTGTTCTAGGAATGGATTACTAGGAGTGACTTCCTCTCCACTGGCATATACATTCAAGTCATTGAGGCCTGGATATAAAGCAATAAAATGAAGGAAGGATAACAAACTTTTTGATGAAGATTCCCCCTTTTGTTTGCAAAAAATTTAACACTAGAAACATGACATTTCACTGTGCACAGAAAGCTTTTTCCAACCCTAGAAAACCCTAACACAAGTAATTTTTGTGTTATTCTGAATTTAAAATTAAACAGAGTTAACTAACTTACACTTGAAAAATAAAAACATGCCAGCTGTCAAAACTATTCTATACAGTCCAATACAGTGAAAACTATATGGTCTTGCAGATACTGCACAAAAACTGTGAATGAGCAAACATCTGTCAATAAAGCTGAAGTTAGCTGTCACGATTAGGAGATAAATAGCCTTGCATACTCATTACTCTGATTAACTGCAGAGCCTTAACTCTATCACTCATTGAATTCCTATCCACATTACGCTCTTAAGCCAATTATTCACTCTCATCAAGGGGAATAATGCATCATGCTTTCCCCCCTCAATTGCCATTTAAACCAATGAAACCAATGTTTGAGTTTGGAGATATATTGTAGGAGAAAACGTATAGGACAAAATCACAAAAGAGGTGAACCATAGGGTTAGAAGAATTACAGCACAAACGCTGCCATTAATGTTAGCTAAAGAAGACAAATGGACAGTCATCTGTCCTCGTCAAAAGATAAAATAATATGTCACTACCAATAGTTAAAAAAAAGAAAGAAAAAAAATTCGCTTGCATTTACAGATACATTGTGTTTAAGGTTGAGAACCCTGTACTACTTACCATATAAAACTAAAACTCTAAATGGAACTCTGAGTAGCCTTGCTGGACACTCCAGTTTTTGTGTTCCAATGGTCAGCTTGTATGAGTATTTTACAGACTGGCCTTTAAAGGAGGGAGGAACATCTTTTGGAATCCCCTCTTTATATAGATCTATAGTTTAACGTAAAGAAAATGATGACAAGTTGATAACCAATATATATTAGGAATGATTTCAATGATATACAATTCATTTAAAATTCAGAGACTAGTTTCAGTATTTTATTTAAATTAAACCACAGAACGCCCGTTTAAAAGTCAATTTTGAATTGTGACTTAATCTAATACTCACATGTTTTTTGCTCTGTGGAATGATTGGGAATGATTTCAATGATATACAAATCATTTAAAATCCAGAGACTAGTTTCAGTATTTTACTGAAATTAAACCACAGAACGCCCATTTAAAAGTCAATTTTGAGTTGTGACTTAATCTAACACTCACATGTTTTTTGCTCTCCTGGCCCGAGTCTCAAGTCACAGAATAATATCTTAGGTTTGCTAGACCATACTGTAAGACCTCTTTCCCCTGGAAAGTTTATAACATTCTTGGTTTAAAAAATAAAAATTGTGATAATCTAAGTTAGTCAAAGAACAAATTTTCAGAATTGTTATCTTGGCTACACTACACATGTATGTATCAGCANCCTGATATTTGCTTGCCTTTTGTTATTTAACTCTTGTGTAAGACGCGAAACCACCACGTACTCAAGATGTCGTGACGTGTCACAGTTTGGTGTTTACCCCAACATCAACCATCAGCTGGCGGCTGACATGGCTGGGCACGGCGGTGTAAAACCTAAGGAAAGGGGGTCCCGAGCCAAAATACCTGGGGTGCCAGACTACGGGTGGCGCGTGAAACTGGACCACGAGTTTCAAGAGGATATCAAGCCTTTTGTCACTCCAAGATTACGCCAGGTTGCGCCTTTAGTAGGACTGAGTCTTAGGTAAGAACACTCAAGTTGTTTTAACTTCTAATTCTTTTTTGTTTAATGTGTATCACATTCCGATATTTAGATAAAAATTTATTTGCCGTGCCTTTCATTGGAAATTCTGTGCATACTTATTCACCAGGTTATGCAAAATTAGTCACTGGCTGTCTATGTTTTTTTTTTTTTTTTTTTTTTTTTTCCAGCTTTAGACTGTGTCAGATAAGGTGCTTTGTGTGAGTAATTGTGATTAATTTCTATTGTTTTTAGCTGGGATGCCTAGCATAACTAGCACCAGCTTGTTTTGCAAAAAATTGTGAACTCAATTTTCCATTATTATCAATTTCAAAATTATTTCTTTCTTTCTTTCTTTCTTTCTTTCTTTCTTTCTTTATTTATTTATTTATAATTGCCATGTTTTGTCACAAGTTTTGCATGACATTCACCATAGCCACACAGGCAAAAGCATTATCAGCATTTGTTTGGTTTGATAACAAGAAAAAATGCAGTGTAGAAATATGAGCATTCAGCTACACTTTGTCATGTGTTCTGAATTATGCAGGACAGGTCCATATTTTATTAAGTGTCTTGCATTCTGTGTCTGCATATAAAAGCCCTGTATTTCTTTTTAAAAAATCCCAAAATACTTTTTATTTATATCGATTATGTTAAAAGTCCTCACTGTGAGAAAGAAACCCCCTTCCCCCCTCCCTTTCCAGCTCCTGTTCCCTTTCCTTCTTTTCCTCTGTGTTGTTTTAAGCAGTGGCAAATAGAAACCAACGAGAGTGGTCCCAACATTTCTGTTGTAGTTTGCTCTTTTTATTTTTACATACATAGTCTCCGTATAAAATTGATTTTGATTTTTAGCTGTTATTAGAAGAATTGATTATTTGTAACTGTGAGTGCACAACAGCGCTGATAATATTGTTTGCTGGTTTCTTTGTTGCCTGTTTTTTATTGTGTTGATTTAATACAGGGTCACATATCTGGCAGCCTAGTTACACAGTCAATAATCCACTCCAAGTTGGCAGCCTTTCATAGCTAATAAGAATTATATAAACCATTCTATATTGTTTGAGTGTCTCTGAATAAGTTTTTTAATGTTTACCCACAAGATCCTGAAGACCATCTGAATTAGTTTATGAATACTTCACTCAATAATATGAATGTTAAAGTACAAATAATTTAACAGATAAGCAAGGATTTTAAAATTATTGGATCTTTTACCATATTCTTAATGCTCATGTCTTCTCTTCTCTTCATGTGTTTTACTTGGCAATATATTTCTTTGTAGTGATGAAAAGTGTTTTGAACAAGCAGAGCCCTATCAAGGATGGTCTATAGATCCTTCTTGGTCTAGTCATTTTCTTATTTATTTTTCATTCACACTACATGGAAGTTTGTGAATATTGTATATAGTCTACTTAGTCCTGAGATTACCATACTGGAAATCAATGTGTAATCTACTTTTCTCCCAGTCACCCAGGAGATCCAGTATGGTTAGATCTCTTGGATGCTGTGTGTGCTGAGTTCCAGTAGCACAGAAGCACAGCACACATTATTTGGCTGTCTCAAGCACCTGCTACTCTGTCTGTGTAATAGCCCCCAGGGACAGTACACTCACTCACACTGCAGGCTGCATAGATCACTATCCTTCTGGTTATGGGAGATTCTCTTTTGTGCACTAATTGGATAATTTGGCTATGTAATAGAATTAAAGCCCTGTAAAGACCATTAATTCAGTTACCCACGAACAAGTGCTCCAGGCATTTATGAGTGGTTCAGTGTACTCTGTGGCAAAATGGTTATCGTTTTCAAATCTTGTGCATATTTTCAGCAGTTTGATTACAGATGTCTGGCTACAAAGCTAGAAGAGTTGAATGCCAAATGAGAACTGGTTTCATATGCTCCTTGGGCAAAAATAACACAACACATTGCCAAATGCATTTGCACTTGGTAAACTAAACAGGAATTCCTATACCAGGGCTTTTTCCAGGATTGGGGGTACAGCCTGTCCAAAATTACCACCTGTAAAATCCTACAAAATTTCAGGGAATACAAGTATGTCTAAAGCCATCATATTTCAAAAAAAAAAAAAAAAAAATTCAATAAGCCATCCAGCCGTCTTTGAAAATTTAGGTCATCTGGTGATGCTGGCCACTGTCTAAATGACAGCTGGACAGTTCGCTGGGAAAACCCTTGCCCAACACAAATATTTATCTTTGTCTGCTTCTGGCAAAGAATTCTACAGAAGACACATGCTTTAAATATAGGTTTATAAGTTTATATTATTATTATTAGGATTATATTAGGATTATATGATAGGGACAGTGATAATCTCCATACTCTCAACTATTTTCACCTATTGGTAGAGTTGGTAGCTTATGGATCTAAGATCTTTGATGTAAGATGTCTACATACATTGTTACATGTTCAAAGATCTGTAGATCCTGGCAAGATAACCATGTCAGAACTTTTACTGCCCTACAGGGAGGTGCAGAGATGACTCACCTATGGTATCAAAAAGCATATTTCTGTACTAGTAATCACCTTGGGGGTTTGGCAAGATAGAGCTGATTTGAGTCATTATAATATCAGTCATATTTTGGACCTAGTAGTACCTGTGCAATATCATAGAACATTATACATGAAAGTAAATTTCAACCGCATATTTAATCTCGTATGTCAAAATTATCTAATGATTGTGTCATTTTTTTTTTCAGGTATGGTCTTTTCTGGTTAAAGAAAAGAAGGGAAGGAAAGAGGATTTTTATTGATCAAGTTAAGGTTGTTCCTTACCAACCTATATATGGTGAGGCCATTAATTAATTTTTATTCATTTATTTATATATTTATTTATTTAGGACATTTTGTTTTATTAAATCTTGTCATCTTGTCATCTTTATAGATAGCCTCTCTTTTAAGATATTATAACCCAAAGGCATTTTGTGTCCTTATTGTAATTATAAAATTAGTTTTATTGTTGAAAATTAGTACTTTTTGCATAAAGCTTAAAATAAAAAGAAAATAAATAATACAAATAATTGCCCTCTCTGCTTTTAAAACACATTTAAGACTGATGGCTTGTACATGCATTGAGTTGGGCTCGATGAAAAATTGGGTACTTTTTTTCACACCAAAATTCCAAAGGCAAATAATTTTTAATTTAGTGTTTCTAAAAAAATTGATATTGCAGCATTTCATTCATGTATTTGGTGTATATCGTATATATAGTAAAATAAGTTTGCAGAATTAATGTGGATTTGATATCCCTGCAGTAAGTCTTGGAGAAAAGAGTTTATAGACATGCTGGATAGAGAGAGAGACCTTCAGATAGAAATCATGTTTGCTCAATGGAAGTAAAAACCCAGTGTTACACTATTGCAGGTGCCCCTGTTGGAGGCATTGGCTGTGGCACCATAGGCCGAGGGTTCAAGGGAGAATTCTGCAGGTTTCAGATGGTCCCTGGCATCTACCAGTGGCATGTGGTGGAAGCTAATCAGGTAAGGAAACGGTTATATTTTTATATATGCCCAAATTATAAAACAAATTGTTGCTTTGGCTATTGAAAGCATACTACTAGCTCAGTTGCAGTATCAAACCCATTGCAAGAAGTAGTAGTTGACCACTGTTTGTGATATACAAGAGCCTCATAGTCTCAGTGATAAGGTATGTAACTTTCTTCCAGTTCACAGTGTGTGTAAGGAGGAAAGGACAAACAGTGTATCAGCAGGTGTTGTCCCCCCACAGACCCAAGGGTCCTGGGCTCACTGCCTGGAATTGGGCCTTTCATGGAGAGTATGCCACCTATCATGCCCTATATCCTAGGTCTTGGACAGCGTATGACTTGCCAGGCCAGAATATACGGTTAATCTGTAGACAGGTTTCTCCAGTATTCCCTCATGATTATAAGGTAAGTTGTATATATGTATGCAGATTCTTTCACATTTATTTGTTGGATGTATAGAGCAGGGTGCCTCCACTTTCCTCATATGTAGACAAATTTGATTTTGCTATCAGTGATGGGGGAATTGGAAGAGAATGTTTAATTTTGTGCCAAAATCTTTTTTGCTTAATAACCTTTTTCGACACCAGGTACTAAGAGTCTACAGCCTGAAAAAAATCAAAGAAAATGTGGTCATGTTCATTCTGAGTTATTTGTATTTAAGACCACCAGTCTTCCAGCAGCTATCTAATCCAGCTGGTGGTACATACCCAGGAGATGGCAACATCTCTCTGATCCTCTAGTTATTTTACATATTCTAGGACACCAGTCTTCCAGCAGCTGCCTTCATATGGAGCATAGAAAACCAGGGTAGTGAGCCTGTAGATGTCAGCATAATGTTCACATTCAAGAATGGTCAGGGTATTCGGGAGGACAAGAAGGGTGGAGTGTGGAATGAACCCTTTGAATCCACACACAATGCAACCAAGGTCTCTGGTGTCATGATACATCAGACATTCAAAGAAATGGGATGTACTTATGCTGTGGCTGCCTCTCACAGGGTATGTTGATGCTGGTTTTACCTGATAACATGGTGCTATAATATTAAAAACAGATAGAATATAGAGTAGAGATTAATAATATGTCTTGTATTACATTGTATGAATAACATGTAAGGAAAGTTTGTTTTAAGGATAACCTTGGCGTAAGGCATCATAGGATGCTCATTTATTGTAACAAAACTGTACTATTTTTGATAATTTCCAGGAGGGAGTGCATGTAAGTCACAAAGTCTCCTTTGACCCTAACAGTCCTGCTGTGAATGTGTGGCGAGATCTTCTGGAGGACGGGGAGCTGGATTCATGTCCAGGTAGTGTGGTAGATGTGCCATTGTGTTAGGTGTTCTCAATGTCTCAGCTGTGCTTAGATATACCAGTGTGCTACATATGCCTTTGTATTAGGTTCACTATATATATATAGATCTTTTAGTTTTATCATTGTGTGTGTGTGTACTATGTGGAGCAGTTGTAATATGGTTAATGTTCCATTATATAAAATGTAGAAGCATTTTTTATCAAGAGGTCTGGATAATCTAATATTTCATTGATTTTGTGTTCCCCAACATTATCCCCATTGTTTGCCTTCAGACCCTAGTCCAAAGACTTCTAGAGGCCAGGAACTTGCCACAGCTGTGTGTGCCAAATGTCATGTAAAGCCTCAAAGTACACAGCAAATGGACTTTAGTCTTACATGGGACATGCCTGTGATATACTTTGGTGCCAAGGAGCAGTTGTACTGCAGGTATATTCTGTTAGATGTGAATGTGGCTTTTAAAGTAGATAGTGTTAGGTGTGACACTTGTACTAGTTCATTGTGTTAGGTGTGACACTTGTACTAGTTAATTGTGTTAGATGTGATAATTGTACTAATTCTTCATGTCAGGTGTGATAGTTGTGCTGGTTCATTGTGTTGAATGTTGAACTTGATGACGTTTTGCAGATTTTTGATTGGTATCTTATGTTAGACAAGGTAAAGCATTCTTTTTTGATAACTGTGCTGTGAAGTCCTTCAGTTTGATAGTTTTCAAGAAACTGACAGGTGTTTTAGAACATATTTATCACATTTCCATCATAAGATTTTGCATGTTTTTGTTTGGCAATTTATTACATGATATAAGTTGATCTCAAATGCTCACTTTCTCGTCCCCTTCCAGGCGGTACACTCGCTGGTTTGGCAGTTCAGGGAATGCCTCTCCTCATCTGGCCAGCCACACACTGAACAACTATCATATATGGGAGAAGAAGATTGATGAATGGCAGAAACCAATTGTACAGAATAGGTAGTTTTATATATACACCATGTTACATTGTACTTAATATTAATGTATTTAGATGGAATAAGGAGTACTAAAAAGTTCTGAAGAGTGCATTTTAAGGCTTGTTTACCCAAAGCTTGACAAGAAGAAAAAATTCTCAGCTGTGTCCTGCATAATATATAGCATCCTCAGCACTCTGCCATAAGTTCAATTTCCTCAAATCCTTGCCACTCATATTTTCCTGTATTGTAAATAACTATTTGAAACCATCGTTATTGTGTACTCTATGTATGTCTTGACTCCTTGTGAAAGTTTCACACTTGTTTTCCCTAAGGCACCTCCCTGACTGGTATAAGTCTGCCCTGTTTAACGAGCTCTACTTTGTGAGTGATGGGGGCACCGTTTGGGTGGACAAGATGGCACACAAAAATGGTTTCCAGGATTCGAAAGCAGACACACCTCCCAGAGTAGAAGATGCTCAGAAAGATGTCAGAGACAACCCTCTAGAACAAGAGTATGGAAAGTTTGGGTATTTAGAAGGTAACATGATATGACCTTTCCTTTTGATCCACATTTATTTATTTATTTATTTATTTTACTTTTGTTTGATATTTTTTGCATCGGCAAAACTATTGATAGATGCATCAGTTTTAATAGTAATGTTGAGAAGCATGTGAATAATGTTGTTGTTTAAGTGTGAATGGTTTCAAACCTAATTGCCATGTTCTTTTTTCCAGGCCAGGAATACAGGATGTACAATACCTATGATGTCCATTACTATGCATCATTTGCCCTGATAATGCTGTGGCCAAAACTACAACTCAGTCTTCAGTATGACTTGGGTAAGTGCACAGGTGCCCTGGCGATAAAACTGACAAATTGTGATGATACAAGATGTAAAATATATCTATCACGAAATGAACTTAAATGATAATAAAGAATTTACTAATAGATCTTTAAACACTGTTTTTACATATCTCTACTGCAGCTATGGACATACCAAGAGAAGATCTGACACGTTTCAAATTCTGCATGGATGGCAATGTAGATGTGGTCAAAGCAAAGAACTGTGTACCTCATGATGTTGGTGACCCAGGTAAAACTGTTGCACCTAACACAGTCATAGTAACATGTATCTTACACATATTGTCTAATGTCTCACTTTCTCAGCTCAGTGTGTCCTGTTTGAACATAACAGACTACTGTATGTATCACACCCACATCATACTCTGCTGAAATGAATTGTTATAAACCAAACTAGCTGAAATTGTTTGTTATTAACCAAAGAATATGAAATTGTGTTTGAAATTAACCAAATATTATGAATTTTTTTTGTAATAAACCAAACAAGCTGAAATTGTTTGAAATAAACTAAACAAGCTGAAATTGTTTGTAATAAACCAATCCAGCAGACTTTTTTTTTTTCGTAATAAAGCAAACAAACTGAAATTGCTTCTATCTCCAGAGGACGAGCCATGGATCAGAACAAACTGTTATGCAATCCATGCCACCCATGACTGGAAGGATCTCAACCCAAAGTTTGTACTTCAGGTGTACAGAGACTATCATATAACCAAGGACCATGCCTATATGAAAAGCATGTACCCATGTGCCAAGGTGAGGATTTTTTCCTACTATACAAGGACTGTCATACTTTTAAGCAAATATGAGACATTTTCTAGTTTTATGAATGTGCGCCAGGGAAATTCATGTATGATTATCTTGTTGTAGGCTGTGACAGACAGTTGTCTGAGGTTTGATCATGATGGAGATGGCCTGATTGAAAATGGTGGATTTGCAGACCAGACGTATGATTCCTGGTCTATGACAGGTGCCAGGTGAGTGGAAACCCTGTCACACCTGACATAATTTACGCATCCAAAACACGGGTGCACTTAACACAATGCCACAATTTATACATCCCAAACACAGGTGCACCTAACACAATGTGACAGCTTATACCCATTTTTATGTAGAAACACTTAACAATCAACATTTTTTAGTTTAATTTATCATCAATTAATACTGGAAATTGATTTTAAACAATACAATATTTTGTTTCTAATGACTATTTAAACTTTGTTATAAACCTTAATTTACCCAGTCAACACTGTCAAAGTATTGGTTTAACTCACCCATGTACACTTGATGTACTGTGATGGTTTTCAGTGCATATTGTGGAGGTTTATGGCTGGCTTCACTGCACTTGATGTGCCTAATGGCAAGACAGCTGGGTTACTATGGAGACGAAAAGAAATATAAGGAAATACTGGACAAAGGCAAAATCTCCTTTGAGAGAAAACTGTGGAATGGTATGTGAAAAAAAAGAAACTAGTATTGTTCATGCTTTAGATTCAACAACTTTTTTAAGACTGATTAACAAAAATTGATGTGATTCTAATAGTTCATTATTAATTTCATATCATATATATTTGTTTGATCATCATATATTTGTTTGATCAGTTCTTTTTATCTATCTATATATATATATATATATATATATATATATATATATATATATATATTTATTTATTTATTTTTGTGATATTATAGGTCAGTATTACAACTACGACTCTGCAGGTAAGAAACATTCGGACAGCATCATGGCGGACCAGTTGTGTGGACACTGGTACCTAAAGGCATCTGGAGTGGCAGATGACACAGTAAGCCCATTCATTTCTTCTTCCATTTTACGCAAATTAGCAGACAACAAGTCAGAAGATAAGGATTAGTTCTAGACAAAAATGCCTTCCCAATTCTTTTGTTCATTTGTTTTTGTTGTCTTTTATTACAGATATTCCCAGCAGACCATGTGAAAACTGCTCTAAGGAGCATTTACAAATACAACGTTCTACCTTTCAAAAATGGCACCATGGGAGCTGTAAATGGTGCTCGGCCCTCTGGGAAGGCTGACACCTGCGCAGTGCAGTCCGAAGAGTTCTGGACAGGGGTGAACTACGCCTTAGCTGCTAGCATGATACAAGAGGTGAGTGATGGTGATGCATATGAAAGATTATTATGCTCACTCTTAAATAATAATGTTTATCCCAATGATAACTTAATTAATTGATTAACTGATGGAGACAGATGTGTATTGTTTATTTTTCATATCAGAAAATATACTGTTTACTTAGCATCTAAGCATTTTTATGTTTCACCTCATTTTAGTCTATAAAAGAAACACAAGGTATCAAACTTGAAAAAGAAGAATAAACAGTTTTCTGTGAAAACTGATGGCTGAATATTTCATCTGTTGTCAGGGTATGTTGGAGGAGGGGTTCAAGGTGGCCCAGGGTGCCTACCACACCCTGTATGAATCCTGGGGCCTGGGATTCCAGACACCAGAGGCTTACTTTGAGAACAACAGGTACAGGTCACTGGGTTACATGAGACCCCTCAGTATATGGGCAATGCAATGGGCACTGGAGAAATACCATCCTGAGCTGATGAAAGGGGAACAGCCGGAAGCAGGGGGTGACTCACGTGGATTAACAGGGGGTGGAGATGAAGCTAAGAGACAGAACACACACAGTGAAAAGAATATATGAATATACCATTTTGATATGACAGAATAAGAACAGAGCTATTTGTAACTAGCCATATGCTATTAGATATTTAGAATTGGTATGTGGTGGAAAAATTATTTAGAGACACCAGGACAAGACAAGACAGGAATTACTGGTGGAATTATGTGCACAAGTCATATATTTGTCATACTTACATCAAAGCATTGTTTCTTTCCATTAGCATTTCTTTGGTCATGGCCCAGGCGTGGTTTGACCTCTTCGAGACTGTGATTTAGACTGTCTCATTCTAGAGAAGTTAGTGGCAATATATGCATTTAGAACAGAGACAGTTTTAACATGTAGTTTTTTTTTTCTTTCAAGTAAATCATGAACAAATTAATTTGCATGAAGAATGATAAAAATAACCTCCTTTCTGCCAAAATGTAGCATTGTGTATCATGATGGAATGTGATGCAGTGAATGAAAAAAGGTATAAAATTTAAGAATATTCCATTAATGTGCAGTTAGATTTTGCCCCCATTTCACATTAGAATTAAAACTGTAACATTCATAGGCAGCCTGTAAACTAAGTCAGAACCCTATTTAAATATGGTCCCATTTAGAATGAGAAGATCCGAGTGCTAACTGGTCCATGGCTTAAATATGGCATGGAAGGAAGACTGCTTAATCCTGTAATGGTCTCTCCGCCTCTCACATGCCTTCCCACGCATCGTCCTTGCAGGGGCACAGTAATTTTAATCTCAACTCCATTCAACCAGACGTATGGAAAGGCGTTTGAAAGGCGGAGAGACTATTACAGGTTTAAGCAGTCTTCTTTTCATGTAGGGTCGGCCATACTTGAGCCTTGGACCAGTTGATACTGGAATCTTCTCATTCTGAATGGCCCCTATGTCTTTACCAAAGAAGGAAATTTATTTATAGTAACATATAGGCGGTATATAATAGTGATGTAAGTTAATTTCAGTATTGATTACCTAAGATTTATCTCACTACCAGAGAGGTGTCTTCACCTTTACATCAACAGTGTCTGTTGATTGAAAATTATATCTGAAATCTTTCATAGCCACCAAGAAAGAAGTTCTTGTCTCACTCATGTTGGATCTTGCCAAAATGATATTGTTTTGACTACAGCTGAAACCTCTCGGTTAAAGTTTTTTACAGATGTTTTAAGCTGTTTTACAATGCTTTATAGAGTATTTATCAACTTGTTATTCAAATATACTGGTATGTTGAGGTCACGTTCCTCATTTAACACTTGAAATAGGCCATTCAGGAAATACTTCTGTACTTCACTCAAATTTCAATCTCTTACCATTAATATATGCTACAATTGATTGCGTCATTTCACCTTTGTCTGGTTTGTCTGTTTATTTTCAGCTAAAATGTGGCCATTTAACTACCATTTTATCTTTATAGTTGAGTTTAAAAACATTTTTTAAATGAAATTTGACCATTTAACGCAAGTTGCATGTACTGTTATAGAATCTCCTCCTCTGTTTAGTGCAGTCATAAGCACTACTGTTCATACATATAACATATTTGTATGCTTTTATAAAATGATTTCTGATAGTGCAATTTTATGTGAGTGAAAATGTGTGTATAGTTGTGTATTCTCTGCAGTTTGGAAATTTTGGAGTAATTTTTATAGAAATTGCATTTTAAAATATTACACAGAACAAGTAGCATCTAATGAATCTAACACCTTGGGGGTTTTTGCTGTTTGTTGTTTGTTGGTAAGCAAAATAATACTATATAGTAAAACTGAGTATTTTAGATTAAATTACATTGAAAAAAAGTTATCAAATTATTTGTTTAATAGACTGCATCCTTGTTAGTTCTAATGATGGTTTAGTACCATTATTGTATATAATCTGGTGTATCTATGCAATATATAACCATAGTAGTGAGTGGGTGCAGTGCAGTGCTGTGTATGGGAGATTGCAGACACTACTGGGACTCTAAGCACAATTTACTGACCATCTTTTTCTTCTACCTGATACAGTGTGGAATCAGAATTAATTCAAAAATAAAAATAACAACATATATCCTTCCAAGTGTTTATTAGAGTTAATATATGATAAGTATGCAGTAATCCACAACCACCATAAATACAGTGTGCCAATGAAATAAATCTCCAAACTCACTCTGGGACCCAACAACTTGTTTAAGGTCCCAGTGTTCTAGTCATACCAGTTCACACACAACATAAACAACCAGTTAGCGAGAGTAAGTTCACCAATTTACAAATAAAATTTTATACCTGACGAATTAACAAATCGAGGTAACATCCAAGGTAAATGTGAAGAAAGACAGATAAGACTTACTGACCAAAACTAATGGTGGTAACAATGAAGTCCCAATTCATAAGCCTTTGTCTGGCATTCACTACCCTATACTACACATACCTTCTATATTCAATGAGGACAAAAGGAATTAAGAAGATAACAAAAATAAGACTTACTTTATTCATAACAGCTGTTGAAATAAAATGGAGATTCATAAACATGGCAGTGGTTACCAAAAGTGCGTCAAAAAGCAGAATAATGAAATGAAATGCTGACATTATTTAAAATAATGCCTGTAAAATGTACTGAAATAAATAACACTTGATAATAAATAACAGAACTGATGTGGTGCACTAACCACAGATGAAATAAAACAAATCCATCTATCTTACCTCACGTAGCTGTCATTTTAACTTTTCTGTAAAAGATACTTGATTTACTTGTAACAAAACTACAGTGATCCCGAAAAGGAGACATTTGCCCCATGATTTTTTCATATACTTAACTGATCCAAATTAAAAGTCACTGTTCATAAATCTTAACTTCAAATTAACTTGTGATCAAGATCTATATTATGGGAACATTAATTATGTATTTCAGCTTCTAATAATATAAGATTCTTGTGTTAGAGTAAAACAAGTTTAAAAGTAGAGACCATTAAATGCCTACCTACTATCTACTGAACCTTGGCAAAGAACAGACTGAAAAAGCAGCAGGTTAACACACAAATATCCATTTTTGAATTAATATTGACTGATTGCATGCTGCAATAACAATCATTTCACCCATAAACTTACTTTAAAATATTTACAATACACCCCCATCCTGGGATGCTGGTGTTACATACATACATCTACATGTTAAGTTGCATTGTTGATGTATTGAGCACTGTTCTGCTGCCAGTAGCCAGGAGCAGGCTTTTTCTTGGTCATTAGCCAATCCCTGTCCTGTGCCTGGATATCTGAATTGTTCTAGAGGCTTGTGGCTGTATCATTATCGTAGCATAATTTAGCAGATTTATCAGGCTGGATTGGCAAAAGTAAATAAATAAATGAAGAAATAAATAAATTAAATAATCTATCCTGCCATGCATATCTAGCATGTAAAATTACTGCTTGCTATGTTTTTGAATTACATCATTTTTGATCTTATGACAGAAATGTCAAGTTTATTTGTTTATTTTTTATCCTTAAGCTTCACATATAAAACAAAAAAGCAGTGTCATCAACCTCTTTAAAAAAAGAAAAAAAAAAGATGAAAAAAACATAATTTATGCAGTGTTTTTTGTTCTTTGGTAAAATTTCTTAATTGTGATAACTTAAAGATGATCTACTGACCATACCTATAACACACAATTTTTGACCACTAATTTACTAGGAATGCAATGCAGCACAGCATAATTTGGCCTGAAGCAGTGTTAACAACAGTGCTGTTGTTAGAAAGCTGACATTTGGCAAAGTAGTCCTTAACTATACACTGGCTCTGCTGGAAAGCTAGCATATATTTGTTAAGACCTCAAATACAAATTATATTACTTCAACAGTGCAGAGATTTAAGTTATGAGGAACCTACATTTGTAAGTGCTTCAAGTCTTTTATATATTTACAATTTTTATCTACATGATACTTAGCAACTGCATGCTAACTTGTTCCGTCTCCCTCTTACCCATTCCCATTTTTATACATATATGATACAGAACATGTACTATGATAGCTAGTATCAAAGCAATAAAACGAGAATAAGTATTTGAAAAAAGAAGCTAGTCAACGCCATGTTCCTTCTGTTTTCCTTTCTACAAAGTAAAAAAAGAGCATGGATACCACATATCATATAACTGTTGAATGCCTCTTTACAAATCCCATATCTCCACTACATACATGCTTATATTAAGATTACACACCATAGTTAGGAATATTTAATAAATTACATGAATATTTTTTCGACCCATATACCTGGAGGACTTTGTTCAGAAATTATTGAACTTATAAACATGTTTCTTATTTGAAAAATTAAGAATTTGTTGTAGTTTGATGTGGTGATCAGTGATGACTAACAGCAGGTAGACAGTGACAGTGTGTTAGATGTGACAGTGTGTTAGTGTGACAGTGTGTTAGGTGTAATAATGTGTTAGGTGTAATGTGATTGCATCATGTTTGTGATTATATGTTGAATGAAAGCATGTTTTTTCCAAACAGTGTGTTTAGTTGTGTCATGTTACACTGCTTGACTGGTTTCTGACAATGTTATGTGTAAACGTTTTGACTCCTGAATGTTTTAAAATAGTAAATTTAACACTGAAGTGACCATGACAGGGTTACCTGCAATGATTACTTGAGTAAAACCATCAAGTGACATTTTTTTTTTGGTGTCCAACTGAATGACTAGTGAAAGCAGTTCCCGGAAGCTCATTACGTCGGACACTAAAACAACTAAGTACACTAAGTAGTTCTACTGAGAAACTAATTGGCCTTTAGCTATATACAAAGCAGACACTCACATAACAAGTGCAGAAGAATTATGCTTAAGTAATATATCTCCTCTTCTCTCTCTCTCTCTTTCCATCAGTACTGTATAATGTTTGAGCTGCCATAAGGACATGACCGTTGCTGGACACAGAAAATGACCACTGCTGTATGTGGTATATATATATATACAAGGTTGTCATAGAGACATAAATCCTGCAGACACTGTACTCCACTCATAATACTTGTTGCACTGTAGGTAGCAGTTTTTTTTTTTAATTTGCCCAGCATTTCACCTGTTGTTATTGTTGTTGTTGTTGTTTTACCTGAACTCTATACTAGTTAAGTCTATTGTATCCCAGCCTGTTATTCATATTAGTCCATTCCTCTTTTGTTCATCACGTATCCTGCATGCAACGGCCGCCACTAACGCAGCACCTTTTCCACTCCCATCATGAGATAACATGATTTTGAACTGAAAGATACAATATAAATAAAAATAGATACAATGTAAATAAAAATCAATATATTGATGTGAAATCAATCAAATATGGAAGCAATTTATTAAAGTGACAACATTTATCACAAGATCATCACTGGGCCACTGTATACTTACCAATTGGTTGTAATGTATAGCCAAATTATTAAAATTGCCAATTTTCTTTGAATGACAAACTGAATAAAATTCTAGATGTCTCTATAATACATAATGTATGACATTTAAAATGTATACTTAAAATACCGCACATAAAATATCCTTATATCTTGAATCTAAAATTCCTGTTATAACATTTGTTGGATACATTACTGGATAGTCATAATGATAGTGTTTTTGTTACAACAGTGTGCCTAGTTATTATTTACTCTGTTACCACTTTTTTTTTCTCTGACTTGTTATTTGTAATATAACATGCACTATACACAGGGTTAGATGGGATAATATACTTTTCAAACACACCCGTTTTAAAATGGTTATACTACCTAATCACAGTGAGCCTCATAGGTATCCTTCTCATCAGATGTGAATAGAATAAATATAGTTTATGTTATATGAGTTTTCTATTTAGTTAAGTAGAATATCCATGTTAGTGCTGAGTATCTCTAGTGATGTTTTCTCCGAAAATGAGGACATCATGATTTGTGCTTCAACTCTTGAGCTAGCCTAAGAGAGTCATATTATTTACAAATGGTTGGTAATTGACTTTTTACATTTATCTGATCAATTTCCCAAAGCAAAAATTGTTTTGTTCATGTAGAAAGTAAAAATAGAGCTTTAGATGAGTGAAGTTAATAAGTTTGATTTCATCTTTCTTTTTTATTTTTTTATTATTTTCTTTTTATTAGTCTCTTATAGCAGGGTGAATATATCATTAGTCTACAATACACTGTTCAGTGAAGTAAGTACTGGTACTGTGATACAGAAATGGGAGTGCTTGTTTTCAACAAGACAAGACAGACAATATATAAACAACAAGTTAACATTAAATCATACAGTGCTGTCAGTGATATGGATAGCCCCCACCACTGTAGAGAGCTACATTGCCATAGTTCTAATAAGGGCAACATTATTACAATAACCTTCAGGTTAGGTGTACTTCTATCACCACAGTGACCATGGTCTAAGATATCATCTCTCTAATAACAACCTTCACAATCAATAATGCCTTTGACAATGTCTTTCCTAAGTTTACTCATTCTTAGTCGTTTTGCCACAGCAGCGACCAGAGCGGCACCCTTCCCGCTGCCATCATTGGCCAAAAGCACCTTGAACTGAAATGCCAAGGCACAGCATTAGACCTGCAAGAGGCGCAGTTTGTGGTGTTGGTCTGATTTGATTGGTTCTTGTTGTGAGTAAGAGGCAGAGTTTGTCACGTTGGTCTGACTTTATTGGTTCTCACGTTTGGCAGTTTGAAAATATGTCAGCCATGTTTTTCTTGTGGAAATGGGCCTGAAAATTCACTGGATATGTCAGCTATAATTTGTTTTCACTTGTTTTATTTTATTTTATCTACTTTTGAATTACATGCAAAAGAACCTACAGTCATTTACAAGTATTCTAGATCAGGTGCATTGACTTTTTCCTCATCTGCCTTGAAGTGGGTCATTCAACCAGATGTGGAATTGTACTGCATGTGAAAAGGTTCTGACAATTTGACTCTGTTTTCTGTAAATAAATGACTGGGCCAAAGTGTGTTACTGCAATGTGTATGAAGGGCGGCAGGGGTGTTGTAGACTGACAAAATAAAATGTAAAAGGTCAGAGGTAAACAACATTGTGTGAGGTGAGACCACGATAGCTAAAAAGCAAAAAATTGTTACATAATTTCTTAGAGAAAACAAAATCACTGCAAACTCAAAATGTCCTATACTTAAAGCAAAAGCAGATAAGACTAGCAGAGGCTGAACAAAATCAAATCTGAGAAAGAAATGGTTTATCTAACATGTAAGCAGTGCACAATATAGCATAAGCGCTGTGACTGTATTGTTAACTTTCCATGTTTCATAAGAATTTATAGTGGTATGCATATATGTAGCTATGTCAGAAACTATTTGATTCAAAAATAAACTGAATCTTATTATTTAAATACACATCTTTTTTATCTTATAATTTTATCTTTTTGTTGTTTGAGCTGGCAAAACGTACTAAGTAGCCAATAACCTTATTTACAGTTTTTGGTTTTAATAAAATGACTAACTCTAATTTTTCAGAATTATAACAAAAATATTCCTTCTTGTTAACTCCAACCATTTATAATATTCATATGTCTTTGTACATTGCTTTGTGTCACCTATCATCTTGTCAGCTCCACATCAAAATATTACAGCTCTATCAACCCAAAGACACTTACTTTTAACCCTTTGTTGACCAACTGTGAGACCTTTTGCTCCATGATATCACCAAATTTGGGATGGAATCTGTATAGAGAGCCGTCCACCGCTATTGTGACGCTGGGCCGGGCTACTCTGTTCAGTAGTACTGCACAGCCTGTAATACAAAGACACATTCAGGAGTGGAAAACCTTTGGAAAGTGCTATATAATATAACTGCAATGCCCCTATACTACTTGCATACTACGAAACTCATTACAATACTAACACTGTTTCACTTATTTACTTATTCATTTACTGACACAATGATCAATATCAATGCCATCTACATGACAACAAAATGTAATTGCTTTATAAATATATATGATAACAATGTGCTGTTCCACATTACAGCAAATATCACACAGCACACTGTAAATGATTTAGAGACATTATATAATGATATCTATCTACATACCACATGAAGCTAAATGGGCTGCTCGGCTGGATACTAAAGAACAAACATATTGCACATAGTGGCAGTCTGCATTGCTGTAATTCTCAATCCCAAGGTCATACTCTAGTACAGACTTGGTATTTTTAAAATCATCCCTCTTGTCACTGAAAAATGCCATAATTTTGTTATTATGTAATTATAATTCTCAATCCCAAGGACGTGCTAGTACATATTTTGAAAATCATCTCTCCTGTCACTGATAAATGCCATAATTTTGTTTTTATATAACAGTAATTCAATCCCAAGGATGTACTAGTACAGATTTTGAAAATCATCTTTCCTGTCATTGATAAATGCCATAATTTTGTTTTTATATAACAGCTATCAATCCCAAGGTCATGCTTGGCAGTTTAAAAATCATTACCTTTGTCACGGGAAATAAGGGCATAATTATGTTATTATTGTGATATACTAAAACAGAGCCATGGAGAGTCAGTGACAAAATATTCTCTGAGCCCAATATTTCACATGGAAACTTACCTTTCAATTTCTGAGATGTACTTTGTATAAAAGCGCCCTGGAGTTGATAGGAGATCGGAGCTCTGTCCCTCGAAGAGCAGTCCCTCGTTGACCAAACGCTCCAGGTAGAGGCGCGCTAGCTCTCCCAGGTACATACCCGACATCATCTTCTCATACCTGGATTGTTACATAGAGGAGGATTAGGACTGTGCAGTACACATTTCACTTACATACACTGATTTCTTTGTTTTTTACATTTTTTGGAGGGAGAAGGGTGATTTGGGGTAGTAAGAAAAAGGTTGAACAATGAACAGGGGTTTCTAAAGCAGAAAAAAAATGCCAAGAAGAATCAAATTTCTGATATAAATCAGAAACATTCATGTCTGAACAAAAATGAACTTGAAGGGCAGCTTTATTCTGTCTCTACTCGCACATGTCTGTCAATAGAAAGCAGCCAAGTAATTGAAACAGAACACAAAAATAGCACTAAAACTTACAGCTGTTTTCCTGGGTTGACTGAGAATTTTGCATCTAATTCCTGATCATATTGTGTTCTTATAAAATCCAGAACACCATTGTCCCCAAATGCTCCCCACTCTGTGTTGATTATAACCTGAAATTGGAGCAAAAATTATATTGTTGCAACAAGCATCAGTATCATTATAGACATGATAACCATTTTAACCCCCCTTTTTTCTAATTTAACCAAATGACATATTACAGGTTGAGAACACATATAAAGTAATTGTGACATATAAAGTAATTCTCTCTTCTGACATGCTTTTGAAATGTATTAAAAAAGTAGAAAGAAATAGCTCAGTGACCTTACAACTGTAACCAATGGACTCTCAAGATTTTTTAAATTCCATTTTAGATTGAAACAAAATCATGTTTGTCCTAGATCTGCTTTCTAAACACAGGACACTCTAGTATAGTCTGCATGGATTGTGTTAGGTGTGACAACATTGTGCTGGGTGTGACAGTCTAAATGTGTCTCTTACCTGTCTGGGTGCTCTCTCATCACCATCCCATGTCTCCACTTTGTCTAACTGTTCCATGTAGCAAGCATTGCTACCAGTGCCTAAAACCATGTCAAAGCAATCATTAATGGGACTGATAAAAAATTCTATGCTTTTTTCTCACAATATTATGTGCAATGAAATGTTTATACTACACTCAAGACACCACAGCATTTCATCATATCTCTCACAATTCATTTCCTGCTTCCTTTAATATGACCCACATTAACAGGAAACTATAAATTTTCAGATTTTGGAGAAAAATCTTTTTAACTAAAGAGCAGGAAAAAATCAAAAAGATTGGATAATAAAAACTTAATACACATTACAGGTTTCATTTAAGCACTTTGGAAATACAATATATCATTTTAATGCAAATTTGAATAAAACCTGTGGTTATAAAAAATTAACCTGAGGGCTCTTTGCATGCATAGCACTGATGTATGTGCTGGTATTTTGACTGGCAAATTATGAGTCTGTTGTATGCTTACACACATGTTCACCATGCTGTCTGGAATTCAGTTTGATCAAGGTTGTTCTAAGACTTTATGCCAGACGTCTCAAGGTGCCTAACTATGGCAACTGTCCCAGTCTCTCTCTTTCTCTCTCTCTCTCTCCCTCTTTCTCTCTTCAGGTTGCAAGACCTTATACCAGACACCTCAAGGTGATCCAATATGGCACCCGTCCCAGTCTCTCTCTCTCTCTCTCTCTCTCTCTCTCTCACCTAAAATAAGTCCAATCTGGCAGTTTCTGTCTTCGTGTGCACAAGATATCTGTGCTCCTACTGTGTCATTTATCACCGCTACACACTCCACATCAATGTCCTGTAAATATAACACTAGCACTGTGAACATGTAACAACAGGCAGGGGTGTCATTTTTTTGTGAACGCCCTCCCCTTCCCCCCCCCCTTCTTCCTGCTACCAGTGTGATTGGTCTAAACTCTGTTTAACAAAATCATGTTTATTTTTATCTAATTTTTTACAATTAAAAACTTGGATTAAAATAATCTGTTAATAATCTGTTACTTTCAAGATTGAGTCACTGAGACATATAACTCCAATGTTCATAACAAATTTTTTCTTTTAAAATAGATATGTCAATGTTATTAAATGGCAGCCCTGGAGTGGCAGAAACTATGAGACAGTTCGTAATGAATTTTGTTGACCAAGCTAATGTCACTAACTCTACAGGGATTCTGGCCAAATGCAATCAGACTAACACGCCCCCTCGTGGCACTAATAGAGTTACACATAGAAAAGCTGGTGATATACAAGTATGTTTGAAACAATTGGAGGCATGTTAGTCTGTTAATCTGATTGCATTCAGCAAAAGTCCCCATGGAGTAAGTGCACATTAGCTTGGTTGACAAAATTCAATGTAAACAGTCCCTAACATTCCAATGTATTAGAATTTAAAAGTATCAGCATGAAGCTGACTGGAATGTTTGTTGTTTTCTTTTCTTACAAAAATGAAATGCTATTGTCAATATTGGAGTTACTTGGACCATTTCCAAATCGAAACACTTTAATACAAAAGATGCATTGAAATAGCCTTCATCCATACATCTGTAATAGGTATTCAAAAATTTATCAAAAGTTGATGCTGGCACAGATAAAAAACACTTACAAAAAGACTTCTTTTTGGTTATATAGCCCAAACTACTTGGTAATGTCAACATGACATGAGAAAAAAATGTTACTGTCAACATCCATAGTATGTCAATGTCAGATGTGTTACTGCAAGGTATGCAAAAAGCTGTTTAAGGGGTCTAGGATATTAAAAATACGTCTAAAACTCGATTTTTAGTTTTTTATACGTTAGAAATAATCAATTTTGTATCTAATACTCAATTAAGTTATATTTGTGAAACACGGACTAAAAATATACATTTGGACGAGTTTTTCTACCTGTCCTGACTGGTACGGGTGGCAGGCTTTAGGCTCCGCCTCCGTTGTCAAGCACCGTTACTATGGGGGGCGGGGCAAGAATGGTTGTCTAACTTCTTAAGCTGTTACGCGTGCCCTGGCAGCTCATAAGTCTTACGTCAGCTAAGCAGAACACAGTTATATACACAGTCATGGGAAGAAAGAAAGTCGTAAGAAAACGGATGAGCGAGGAAAGCAAGAGAATTTTGAAAGAGAGTGCTTCTGGTGGATGGAGAAACCCCGCGGTAAAGACTCGAGATCACACTTGAACTGCTGAGTATTCGTACAACGTCTGGGGTTGTCAGAAAAAAATCGTTAGGCAATCATTTTATGCACAATAAAGATTGTAATAGCAAGCAAGTTTTAAAGTAATATTGCCACCCAAAACATTTTCAAATTCGCATATTACGGTCTTGGCACTCTGTGGCATCATGGCATATACGTACCCACATTCGNCTCTCTCTCTCTCTCTCTCTCTCTCTCTCTCTCTCTCTCTCGAGGTGCCTAAATATGGCACTAGTCCAACCCCAATTTCTCTCTCTCTCTCTCTCTCTCTCTCTCTCTCTCTCTCTCTCTCTCTCTCTCTCTCTCTCTGTGTCTCACCTAAAATAAGTCCAATCTGGCAGTTTCTGTCTTCGTGTGCACAAGATATCTGTGCTCCTACTGTGTCATTTATCACCGCTACACACTCCACATCAATGTCCTGTAAATATAACACTAGCACTGTGAACATGTAACAACAGGCAGGGGTGTCATTTTTTTGTGAACGCCCTCCCCTTCCCCCCCCCCCTTCTTCCTGCTACCAGTGTGATTGGTCTAAACTCTGTTTAAAAAAATCATGTTTATTTTTATCTAATTTTTTACAATTAAAAACTTGGATTAAAATAATCTGTTAATAATCTGTTACTTTCAAGATTGAGTCACTGAGACATATAACTCCAATGTTCATAACAAATTTTTTCTTTTAAAATAGAAATGTCAATGTTATTAAATGGCAGCCCTGGAGTGGCAGAAACTATGAGACTGTTTGCAATGAATTTTGTTGACCAAGCTAATGTCACTAACTCCACAGGGATTCTGGCCAAATGCAATCAGACTAACACGCCCCCTCGTGGCACTAATAGAGTTACACATAGAAAAGCTGGTGATATACAAGTATGTTTGAAACAATTGGAGGCATGTTAGTCTGTTAATCTGATTGCATTCAGCAAAAGTCCCCATGGAGTAAGTGCACATTAGCTTGGTTGACAAAATTCAATGTAAAAAGTCCCTAACATTCCAATGTATTAGAATTTAAAAGTATCAGCATCAAGCTGACTGGAATGTTTGTTGTTTTCTTTTCTTACAAAAACGAAATGCTATTGTCAATATTGGAGTTACTTGGACCATTTCCAAATCGAAACACTTTAATACAAAAGATGCATTCAAATAGCCTTCATCCATACATCTGTAACAGGCATTCAAAAATTTATCAAAAGTTGATGCTGGCACAGATAAAAAACACTCACAAAAAGACTTCTTTTTGGTTATATAGCCCAAACTACTTGGTAATGTCAACATGACATGAGAAAAAAATGTTACTGTCCACATCCATAGTATGTCAATGTCAGATGTGTTACTGCAAGGTATGCAAAAAGCTGTTTAATATGGGAGATATCCATCTCTCTCTTCACTGGCCACACTGATGGGTTTGAAATGACCAGGTGTGTCTGCAACTTTGCCAATCAACATTGGGACAGGAAGACTCACTTTTAGCTAACAGTGCCAAATATTCTCACGGCATGTCAACTAAGTGTGTTCGCGTGCAACTTTTATCACAAACATTTTTTTAAAAATCACTGCATTGCACTTTAGTCATGTTTTAAATGATTTTATAACAGTTTTATGTGTAATGTATGTTTAAATCTTATTTTTCACCTCTATGAGACAGCTTATAAATTAATTAATTAATTAATTAATAAACCAGTTTAGTATTACTTACATCCCTCCTCTCAATAGCCTCGTGTAGCAGTCTCACGATGTCTTCTCCCTCCACTCCGCTGACCTTGAACCCCTTCGTCCACTGTGACAGACGGGCCCTGGCCAGACCCTCCTGTTTACACGGGAATGAAAATGTGAACCCCAGGGGCAGCTTCTGGTCAGCTATACCCTCCTCATGCATGAACTTGGAGATACACTCTGCTATGTGGTCAAAGAGCTGGAATTATATGAAACCAAAATGTAACTATGTAAAAATGTAATAATGGGTGTATTCAGAACTTGTTGTTCCGTGAACTAACTGGTCTGCAGATCAAATATGGCGCCACCCACTTGAAAGTGTGCTGAGATTTTATTGATCTGCCCCTGCTGGGACAGCGTGCTTTGAAGGCTGGAATCCATTGTCAAGTGCACACCATATTTGATCCACTGATTTCTTGCAGCCTATCCTAGTATCTTGACAATTGTGTCTTATTGAGAGCTATAATTGTAATCTTAAGCAGGACACACTTATAATATAATTCTTCATCATACTAGTAAATACTTTGACCCTAAGCCATGACCATCCTAGTCTTTTTGTCTATGACTTCTACAGAAAACCTACATGGCATCCAGTGCCTCCCAGTACATTTGGTTATATTTGCTATGGTTTCTGATTAGGATTACTGCAAATAAGGGCGCAATCATTTCTAACTGCATATTCATTGTAACAAATAAAATTGATGGTGATCACCATGCAGTAAACTGGGATAGAATCATTTAAAACATTTTAATATGAAGTGGACATTTACAAATGGAATCTGAGACTCAAGGCACTTCATCCATCTGTTGTGGTATGCTAAATGGCCATATTCCACCACTAAAGCTGCAGTAAAAGTGCTAAAAATACCAAACTAATGAAACAAGGTGCGGCAAGACTAACATATGCCCCATTGTGAGGCAATGTCACCAGTCAGAGACATCTCACTTAACCTCTTAACTTCCCAGACAGACAATTTGTTTATAATTATCCTGTAAACTACTAAAAGAGCGAAGACATATTTTTTTTTTTTAATTTAAGAGGCCATTTTACATTAAAACAAGATTAATTTTCTCAAAATATATGCATATGAATATATCGTTAAATGGAAGGATAGACAGAAACCATCTTTTTGTCAAAATGGAAAGATAGATAGATAGATAGATAGCATCTTTCTTTCAAAGAAATATATATATACTAGTATCCTGTTTCGTTTTAAGAATGTTTCTTAAAATCTTGTAAAGGACATTCATGTACGCTGAAAGACCTGTGTCCCAGTAATAAAGTGTGGTTGTGGTTTTCTAGTTGAATCATCAATTCCTGCTGACTTCTAATCTCAATACAGCAACACCCACTCGTACCTTTAGCTCTGCAAACAACCCTGTTCAATATATAACACATCCATATTTTATATACTTGATATTGTTGCTGTCATCATCTGATATAGTAAATCAACTGATATGGTTAATATATATTTACCTTTTTTGTGTGTGTGATATCATAGTAACAGTTCAGCAAATGTCTTGATTTCATCAGTGTAAAATTAAATATGGTTTTAATGTTTTTGTGGAAACTGTACATGCGACTACATTCCAATATGGTCCACAAGTAAACTTTTCCTTTCCATGGATCAACATTAACTTTTATGACCATAAATTTGACCTGTCCAAATTTAAATCCAACCTGTCCAACAAAACCAATATTTTTTTTCATTCATACCTGTCAGTGAACTCAGTTAACTAATGTGTAATCAAGAATGTATGTTTGTCCAAAATGGCCAAAATTGGCTCAAAAAATGTTCAAACTGAACTTTGACCTGTCCCAGACAGTCCGACCGTAGTTAATGTTATTCAACATGCTCCATTCACACCCAACACATTTAAAGTCACACCTAACACAATAGCACATCAAAAGCAGTTCAATTTTCAATAACAGAAAATGCACTATTCACAAAAAGACAAAGATGCATCATCTTCTAGTGGGAAATCTTCCTATAAAATGCATCTGCTCTTGTTCAGAAATGATTGCATATGATTAAACATCTATGCAGTTAACATTTGTATTTTGTGATAATTCTGAATTATAAATAATTCAAACCCCTGTATCAAGCCTGGGTAAGTGGGTTAATTAAATTTTGTTAATAAGACATACAGAAAAATGTGTAACATTAGGATGCAAAATATGCAGTATATGTCAGCAATGGCATCAGGATAAGTTAAATATGTAATAGCCAAACTGGATAACATGGAGTATATTCAGAACACAGCCAAACGATGTCCTCATTAGCCCTAGGTACAGTTTTCTCAACATTGTTGACCTTGTAACAGCTCTAACCTTGACCAGTCTCTCCGTAAGCAAAACAGACATCAAAATTCCCCTCACAAGACAAAAAGCAATTCTTTTAAAAGCCACAATGATTACCCATTATTGCCTAAAATATTTGATGAATCAGACAGCAGTTGCATAAGTTCCAAGTACATTTTCACCATAAATTTCTATGAAAGGTGTGTCAGGGGCTTGGCACCTCAGCTCACTGCTGATTGGTCAATTCTGTTCCTGTGGTTTTGAACGGCTGCCATGTATTGAATTCGAGCCAACTTTAGAAAGGTTAGAATGAGATATGTCCGCAGCAGCTTTGGAATGAATGATCACCATCTTTATATATTCCCTCTCACAAAGGTCACAATATTCATACCTTCGTCAATTCATCAAAAGATTATTAAACAAGGTTAACATGTGAAGAATTTTTTCCACTTATTAAAACATGTATTTATTTTATTCTTGGACTTTCTGTTTTATAGGAATAGTGAAAATCTGGAGGATTATTGATAGCAGACACTAAATAACCAATGCCATCCTCTCCAGATGGCATCTTGCCAAGACAGAAAAGTAATCGATCCACAGAGCTATGGTTTTATCTGCAGCAGTATGGTTATTCATTACAGCGTGGGAAGACAGCAACATTAACCTGTGCAGCTGAATACACCACTAAACGGACAGCAATAAATCCTATCATCAATAGTCTTATTTTGGGGGTAAAATGGCCAAAAAAAAACATTCACATGACCTTCTTCATGTTTCATTTGGATGAGCTGTGATAATAAATGTGATGGGTCGCAGACAGGAAACAGAGTGACACAATACCTGACCTAGACTCAACACCACATGTGCACACCAGCATGTATTGAACACACTGAAGGAATGCCTTTCAGCCAATCAGAGGCCAGGATTCTGACACACCCCTCTAGTAACAGCATCTAACAAACACATCCAAACATTCCACTTAGCTCAATCTGTCCAAATACTGCACTGGCCAAACATTAACAAGGTCAAAGTCCAATATCATATTGATCTGTTGTTTTCATATTACATTATTATGCCTGCATGCTTACTGCAAATATTCGACAAGGTCATATAAAAGACAACATGCAAAATACTCACTCATAATATATACAAAGCCCCTGTACTAAACGTGCTTTTGACACCACGTTTCACAATAACCAAGCGTGGAATGTTGAAACCACATGCAAATTAAGGTCATTCAGGACACCTGCAAGGGGGCTGATGCAATATTAACCCATCAGGTTCTCCATGTTAAACAGAGATTTAAGAAACAAATGGCAACTGTCTGTGGTGTCTAGACTTCAGGCCAAATATCCTGATCTTATCATGTGTCTCGGCTGCCAAGTCAACCCAGACACACACAAAAAGTGGATTGTATATATATATATATGTGCATAGCCTTCGATCTGCTATACAGGTATTCAATTATGTGTGTACAGTCATAAAATATATATATCAAATATGGGATCATGTAGCTCATTAGAGCTTTTCAGGTCTGATTATTATTTTTTTTTTCTTTAAACAGTAATAGTGAAACTTTTTAATGCGAGTCAAAAGGTCTGAACTTCACTGGCCCAAAAGGCTGACGATATTTTGCCTATAATCTTAACAATTTAAGCCAGAACAGTAAAAAAAAAAACATGTACCTGAGATGAATGCATACACCTGCAATAATTTGAGTTTACTACATTTCAATTATTTCTTTCACCTAAACCACCAAAATTCTATTTTTGAAAACTTGCCAATGATTTCCCCAAATATTCTTGTAAACATCTCCACAGCACTCAATTTTAATTCCACCTGATACTACGTAAGCATTATTTGAAAGTACTTGGAAAACACCTTAATCTAGGGGGAAATCACCTCTGTGTGCCAAAAATAAAATGAGAGTGTGGTGAAAATAATTATGCATAATGGTTTTCACTTTCTTTGGTAATACAATATTGTAAATATCTTGAGAAAAAGGTTTTAATTTAACATAATCAGAGATGCTCACCTCTAGATGGGGGTTGGGGGTGATGGTGGGGGGGGGGGGGGGGGTTTCAGGGGAAGGGAATAAACAACACCCCAAGTTCTAGGACTGGGTTCCCATGCCTAGATCGATCTAACAGGATCCATCTCCGAGGGGTTTCTCGCTAAATTGCATTCAGTTTAAACGGCTAAGATGTCTGACACATCTACTGAAGCTGCTAATTACCCCTTAGCGGCTTCAGTAGGCGTGGCAGACAACTAAGCTCAAGTTGATTGCAATTAAGCGCTAATCCCTTGGAGATAGATCGATCCACAGTTAGTACAATAGGCTCTGGGAATGGTCTCTAAAAGACAACCATCTGTTCCATCCTTATCCCAGCCCCCTCAGAAACCCACCTCTTCCGCTGTTCCTGTCATGATGAAGTTTGGAACCAAGAAGATTTTACTCCTCATGGACACCTCGGAACCATTCAGCCTGATCAGCAACACTCTGAAGTTGGTGCCCCCGAGATCCAGGGCCAAGTAGTTCCCTTCCTCTGGAAAAGAAACAACACAGTCAACATTAAATTCTCTACAACACTTTTTTTTTAATACCTTGGATTCCTTGTACAAAAATATGACTGTTTTGGTACCATACAGGTAAGTCAATGAAAACACCTGACAAAATAAATATTAAACCTACCTATTCACAATGAATAAATGAATGCATTGTCCATTGGCTAACACTTTTCATTTTTGCTTGAACTGGTTACCTGTTGCCAGCTGCAAGGCAAATTCTCTCACCCTCTACCAGGGTCAGAGAGTGAATTTTTATCACTAGATATTAACAGATATTTCTCTGGCTAGTCACGCACTGTGAATTTTTGCACAAAAAATGATGTCATCACCCAGCTAGCCTTTGGTAGAGAGTTAAATTCTGTTACACACAGTCATTGAATTGATATGGAATCTCTGCACAGGTGAAATTAAATTCTGCAAGGCATATCCAGAGTTTTAATGCTTCTCATCTATTTCTTTAAAACTGGGTTCCCATACCTAGATCAATATAACTGGATCGATCCATCTCCAAGGGATTTCTCCCTAAATTGCTTTCAGCTTAAGCGGCTTAGATGTCTTACACGCCTACTGAAGCAGCTACACAATAATTAATTACCCCCTAGCAGCTTCAGAAGGCGTGACAGACATCTACGCTGCTTACATTGATTGCAATTTAGCAAGAATCCCCTTGGAGATAGATTAATCCACAGTTAGTACGACAGAGCCTGGGAATGGTCCCTAAATGTAAGCCAAGGAGCTTTGGTATTTACAGATAAAGGTAGATTTTAAGATGAGTAGAACATAAAACAAACATTCAGACAACACACTGCCACTTAGTATCATGGGTCCATAATAATTAAATATGACATGAGAATCCTAAATTTCCGCCTGTAAAATTCCTGCAAGACATAATTTCCCCACCATAACTCCAAGCCAGTTGATGGTCTTGCAGTTATATTTCAGACAGATAGTACTCTGAAGATAACATCTGCCTATCTGGCCTGTACCTCAATGAGGTCACCTTTCCACAGATACTGATCATGATCAGAACGTGAATGACTGCTACTGCAGAGCATACTTACTATATATGCTATAGTGATATAAAACTGACAGTTGGCTGGGATAGTAGTGCTGACAATAGTGATATAAAACTGACAATTGACTGGGATAGTAGTACTGACAATGGTGATATAAAACTGACAATTGACAGGGATAGTAGTGCTAACAATAGTGACATAAAACTGACAGTTGACTGGGACAGTGGTGCTGACAATAGTGATATAAAACTGACAGTTGACTGCAACAATGATGCTGACAATAGTGATATAAAACTGACAGTTGACTGGGACAGTAGTGCTGACAATAGTGATATAAAACTGACAGTTGACTGGGACAGTAGTGCTGACAATAGTGATATAAAACTGACAGTTGGCTGGGACAGTGGTGCTGACAATAGTGATAATAACTAACAGTATTGACTGGGACAGTGGTGCTGACAATAGTGATATAAAACTGACAGTTGACTGGGACAGTGGTGCTGACAATAGTGATATTAACTGACAGTGTTGTCAACACTGAACAGTGCTATAAAACTGACAGTTGACTGGGACAGAGGTGCTGACAATAGTGATAAAAACTGACAGTGTTGACTTGGGATAGTGGTGTTGGCAAAACAGGCATAAAACTGAAAACTGGCTGGGAGTGTGGTGTTGACAATATAAAACTGACAGTGCTGACAAGATGGGAACAGTGGTACTGACAATAGTGACATAAAACTGACAGTACTGAGGCAAAACTGACTGTGATGTAACTTTATATTTATCAATGGTGTCAGGACAATAAACATCAACATCTGTTTGCATGCATCTGAGTGGTGTAGGTGTGCATGCGTGGATGTGCATGCGTGTAGGTGTGCATGTGGCTATATGCATGCACATGTGTAAATCTATTAATAACACTCTTATCTGAACCCCCGTGTCACAGATATCACAGTGTTTATCTTACCTGTGCCATCAGGTATAGATCTGACGTATGTTGGGAACATCTTGATAGCTGCGTTTGGATTTGTTCCTTTACACAGACCCTTGTTCATCTCATCATCCAAGAGCTGCATCACCTTCCGTAGCTGCACGTCAGAGAGCTTTAGCTCTTCCACTATTCTTTCAACCTGCAAGTAAGCTACACATTAACAGACATGCTGAAACTGTCGGTCCGATCGGTCATGACCGGCAAAATTTGTCTGGACCGGTAAAATATTGTACTTTGTCGGTCCAAAGGACCGACAAGAGTTTTAAGAGCCGCCATTTTGAATTAACAGTTAGCGTTCGATGTGCTTCAGAAATAAAATTATATAAAATCCACATCATTTTTTCTTCCATTTACTAATCTAGTGACACGTAAAAATGACCACATTTCGGTCACATTCACTTACAAAGTACGCTAGCCAATCGTATTATCCCTCTCTCAAACGAATGGGTTCTTCCCCATGGGGAATCCCCCTGCTCTCGATAATTACGCGCCCCGTCATTGGTATATTGGCCGCGACACACAGACAGCTATCACGAGGGCGGTCCACGCTGCCAAGCACATGTAAACATGCAGGAAAAAATNTCATCACTGCCGGTCCGAATGTCCGGCAGTTCTGAAAAGTTTTCAGCATGTCTGCATTAAACAAGAATATTTTTCTTTTTTATTGATTTTATCATAACTTTGTTAACTTTACACATCACCCATTCATTCAAATCCACTTGCAATAGTAAATTTTGCACAATCATAATACCCAGTCCCTAGATAGCAGTGAAACAATCAAATACTATGTAAACATTTTACAATGTTATTGTAATCTTTTTATAGTGTATTTAGCCATCAATTAAATACCACACTTTGTACCTGTTTCACCTCAGTCATTTTAGCATATACTGCATATCTTCTCTTCACTTCTTTTTTTTTTCTAATTATTTACGTATGTGATTTCATGGCAAAAGTCAGCACAAGTTCAGTAAGCACGTGGATTGAAAGGATCTTTATACTTCAATAACTTTATACTTCAATAATCTTTTATAGCTACACCAACAGAACACTGGAAAATAACAGTGAGTTACTGGTCAGATTATTCACATTAGGTGGTCAAAATCAACAAGTTTCATAACTTGCAAAGTATTACTATTACACAACACTAGGGTTTTATTCCAATTATACTGGCTCAGGTACAGCAACTGCTTATGTCATTCATTACTACACTGTACACTGATTATGAAGGACACAGATTTCGTAAGCAAAATGGAGGCACTCCATTGGTGATGTTGATCATTGTTGGCTATGATTTTGTAAACAAGTACAGCACACAAGGCACGCAAACCTGCAGTTCAACTATACACCTTCATGCCATAATTATTTCCACAAGGTAGAGTTTTCAAAATACTATCAATAAGTACTGAAATGTTGATGACTGAAAAAAAATGCACAATTTGTTTATAAAAAACTTTTTCTTTATCAAAACAGCAATAGAGGGGATCATTTCTAGGTCAGGGGGAATATAATAAATTTATTTTGTTTTTACGACGCCTGAATGTGACTGAATGTTTTTATGACCCCAATTGAATATGACATAATTACTGTAAAATTGTTTTTTATTTCACAAACAAATTTGTTTTTCAAAAACACTCCTAGAAGACTTATATTGTTTTGCAAAGTGCAGGATACAAAAAAGTTTAAAGTTCCAAAAAAATATAAAATATCACTTCTGCATTTCTATACATATGTCTTAAGTGTCCTACTCCTACGATCTATTTCTGCAAAAAAATAATAATTATCCACAAAGCTATAACAGCGATTGTGGTACTAATAGAACAAGACCTGAGGAATGTTTATATTTACATCAGCAAAGGTGACCCGACTACTTGTAGGAATTTTCCATGTACACACTGCTGAGATCTCAAGGTTATTCACTGGATAAAACACATGTGCGTCAGTCTGGCTGGCACAGCGTCAGTAAACCACACAGATACTCACTGATGAATTGTTTACTATGAAAAGTTTGAAAAGTGTAAGAAATAAATAAACAGTTGATTTTGTTTTTGGGTCTTTTAATTTCAAAACACCTGACTTAAGAAAAATACAAATACTACTAAAATATGCATGCAGTTTCTAAGCATAAAAGGTCAGCACTTAATAGTAAACTATGCTAGCCTTAGTCTAAGGGAAGAGGCATTATTCTGTTATGTGATACTGTATGTATACACACATAAAGCTACTAAATATATATTGAGACATTCCTGTTTCATATGACACTAAAATTTCAAATATTAATGGGGTATGATGACTGAATGTGACTGTTTTATGACCCTAATTGAATAGAAATACAGGACGAAATTTAATAGTACCTGTATTTACTGATATATGTTAAGTTAACTGAACAGGACTGAAACTAGACTTCTGTTATATAGGAGGTGAATAACGGACAACAGGTTACCCTCTAAATCAGACCAGTTACCTAGATAGTTCATGATATAGGGAGCCTGAGGTCATTAAAGCTGTGGCTATTGCTAAATGTGAATGGGTCAAAATGCACTGATGTTAGCTTGTCTTGACTTAAGCTCAAAGTACTAGTAAATTACTGCTTGTCCTGTAAGCAAATTAATGAAATCTACTTAATTTGTAAAAAAGAATTGTCATCTTATTGGCTTCCATGAATGCACCCAGCACTAGATTTGCACACACTTCTGTGTTTACTACATGTTTGTTCTTGTTGTTTTCTAGAGCAGGGAAGGCTAGCCAAGCCCCAGTGACTGATGTCTTATAGCATGGTGTAGGTGGAAAAAAACAGACCCGAGACACAAACAATATCCTGGTTCTACACTAAAAAAGATTAAATTTTGGATTCCGGGAAAGTCTCTGTATCCAAATTTTGGACACTTGCTGTTTCACTATCAGGAAGTGGAAGAAAGAGGCAAATATTTTTAACTTCACTAATTCAGTAACAGCTTACTACTTGTACAAGTCTGTGTGAAAAATGACCTGAAGTCCAAAATCTAGAGGACCCTCCCCACCACCACCACCAGCACCAGCACAGGTGTGCATAAATGAAAGGACACATGTGTGTGCATATAGTGGTGTGCAATGTAAATATCAACATATATAATATTTTGGAGAAAAAAGACAGACTTTTAAGCCAAACTGCAAAGTAATTTCAACTTTCAAGAAAGTTCCAAAACTTGTTGGACTCGCTGTTCTAGTAAATCTACTCTTCTAGAATAATAACTATGATTGAATGTGATTCAGCCTACAGTTAGTTGACTTGGAAACTCGAATGTTTTAAGGCATCAGAAACCATGCAACTGCACGTCAAAACCAATGCAACAACTCAGCTCAAGTATGAAAATATAAAATCAGTAAAACGTCTTAAATATTGACACTCCCCGACAAAAATATCATATCTGTAATCTATACAAATCCCATAGAGGGTGCATGTGGTCATCATGCCTACGGGATGTGAACGGAATCACAAAGATATGATACCGTGACCTTGATCTTGGGTCCCTGTACTCTAGAACCTGCAGACTACAGTCTGTAAACTGTTCTCACTTTCAGACATGCTGACACAGGGGACGATGGCCTTAAACCAAGTTCATTAGATAAGTTTGGCTTTCATTAATCTTAAAAGAAATGCTATCTTAATTGCTATGTCAACACTTAGGGTCTTTATAACTGTACTCCTATGATTGTGCCCTTAAAGCGTAATTAAAAAATCATTAAAAGATGACATGACTTATTGGAATAAACTGATGCATTCTCAATAAATTTATCAAAGGGATAGGGGTTAATAAAATATAGAAAAAGTTTTGTAATTGATAGTCAGTTATGTAGTTTTTAGCCAAATGATTTCCTCCCCCTGACTTAAAATCAAACCACTTTATTCATTTATAAGTAATGATTTGTATTCCATCAAGATAGAATATTTCTAATTTTTCACTCTACAATTCCCCCCCCCCCAAAAAAAAAAGAGGGGGGGGGGATTTAAAGACTCAAACCCAATTCTGAAAGGCGAAATATATTTTATCACCTAAGACTGATAATTAACTTAAACATTTGGAGAATTTTATATGCGAACAAGAGCCTTGAGATTTTTAATCATGCTTATCCAAATTTTAAGTTGTATGAAGAGGTGAAGTTTTTTTTTTTTTTAATCAACAGCTTAATATTGAAATAGTTATACAAAGAAAACCAGATTTTTTCAAGTAATTTTTTAAACCAAGTTTTACTCTGCGTGTTTGCCCCTTATGCCCCTTCCCCCACCCTAGGGTCTTCAGTGTGTAAATCTGATACCCAGCTGTAACAAAACTCTGTTAAATTATTTTCGTCACAACCACCATATAATATATAAATAGTGTAACTTGTTGTTGATAACAAGTTGTTGACTCTCTGCTTGGATGAGTTTTATGCAAAAATGCCCTATGTCTGCATACCTCGCCTTGACAAAATGACTTTAGCACGACAATAGCACAGTAGATGTATCATGCGAAATGGTCTACTGCACACTCAACAATGGTAACATAAATGGCCTTCCTGACTTTGTGAGACTTATACAACATATCTAACCAGCACAGGGAGGGGGCAGCACACAATGCTTGTATTCTCTTTCAAAGGCTTGCATGTGGCTATCGCCATGGGAACTGCACTGTCTTTTGGAGCAATTGTTCTTACTGTCATTTCACCCTGTAAATTGTTGTCAGGATGATTTAAACCACTATTTTCTATCATGATTAGGATTGATGACCAATTAAACAATCAATCAAAAGTTATAGATTTTTGTGCAAACATACATAATACCAGGTATGCTAGACATTTTACACTCGAAAACATACACATATGTTTGTATGACTTTATAAATTACATTTCATATGTTTACATTTGCATTCAGTATAAAAAATTCATAATTGTTCCAAACATCTTGATTTTTGGCAGCAGAATGGTCCATGTGTGGCCTGCAGAGTCCCAAGGTTACCAAGGTCAAACCGAGGACTCAAAATGCAGGCCCTTTAAAAACTCAAAATTTCCCAAAAATACATCTTATAATGAGTGTTTAAACAATGTGTGCATAAAATGGGGGCTTGTCAACATTTTAACACCTGTGATTGGATGAGACGGCGGTCACATTTGCCCAGCCCA